TTAGAGTCGACCTGCAAAAGTGCACTGCCAATGGCAAAGTCCGAAGCGTCACATACGACACTAAACGGGCGCTCAGAATCAGGTAGAGCCAGAATTGGTGCCTGAAGGAGACTCTCCTTAATGGCTTCAAAAGCCTCGTGGTGCTCGGTGTTCCAACGCCATTCCACATCCTTCTTAAGAACATTCGACAATGGTCTAGCCACTTCCGCATAGTTGTGGCTATACTTGTGCAAGTAATTTGCCAAACCCAACCACTTGTGGAGGTCCTTCTGGTTCCTCGAAACCGGCCAATCCACTATGGCTTTGACCTTAACAGGGTCTGCCCGGATTCCTCGCATCCCAATGAAGCATCCCAAAAAGGAAATCTCTTCCGCACCGAAGATGCATTTGTCAATATTGGCATACAGCTTATGCATCCTCATGCAACCGAGCACAGCTCGCAGGTGCTCGATGTGATTCTACACATCAGTCTTGCCATTTTCTGCTCGACTATGGACAAATGTATCGTCACAGTATGTCTGTGCATACGCCCTATGGGGCCGAAATAACTGCGTCACTAGACGATTAAACGTTGCAAGTGCGTTAGATAGCCCTTGGAACATCACTAACCACTCCCAGAGCATACCGCTCAGAGTACTGACCGCTGTCAGCGGAATATCACTAGCTTGCATGAGCAGTTGGTAATATCCATCGACTAAGTCGAGGGCATTGTACATCGTACATCCCACTATATTGTTCTGAAGAACATCCTTGCGAGGAATTGGTGTTTGATCCGGGGTAGTGGCTGCATTCAGCTTATTGTAAGCATGCACTATTCGCCACTTACCATTAGGCTTTCTCACACAAAACGTGGGCGTAGAGTGAGAAGACTTACTATCACGCACCATGCCTCCCGCCTGCCTTGCACGAAAGAAATCGTCAATGACGTCACATTGTTCTCGTGGCAGCGGCCACTGTCGCGTCACACAGTATTTGGTTTCTGAAACCAAGTCAATCGCATGACGTACACCTCTATCCGGAGGTAAGCTCGTCGGAGGTTCTCTGAAGACAACATCTTCATATTCCTTCAACAAAGGATAATAAGTATTCGAAGGGTCCTTCAGGATCTGTGATCCACTACGCGCATTCATCGCCTTCTTGTTATCTTCAAGAACTGCTTTATTCAAAGCGATGAGGAGTTTAACGACTCCTCAGGTCGTATAACGACCACTTCGGCGATGTCGTCTGCCTGAAAGGCACTGCCAAACTCGGCAAAGGACAACTCGCCCAGCTCTTACAGAGCAATTACTGCGAGCATTGCTGAAAGAGCCACCGGTCTTCAACATACCCAGACAAACCATTGACGAGTGTATATAGCTGTTCAATATCACCGTCGCTCACGATATCATCATCGCTACTCATGATGCTCTCAGCATCAGACGCATCAGCGTCCACAGGTGTACACACCTCAAAATCAAAGACCACTTCGTTTACTGACTGCACCCCACCCTCTTGGGTCAATGCCTCGTCATGTGGTGTTCGCACCTCGTTGTCCTCAAAGACAACCGTCATTTTTGACTTCAACCGACCCTCCAGGGCCAGTACCTTGTCATTAGGTGCATGCACCTCATTCTCCTCAAAGATAACATCCATTGATGACTTCACTCGACCCTCTTTGGCCAGTATCTCGTTGTTAGGTACATGCACCTCGTTGTCCTCAAAGATCCATTTGTGACTTCACCCGGCCCTCCAGGGTCAGCTTCTCGTCACCCATGTCACTTGGACTCATGTCATGACATCTTGGCTTGCAGCCACCAGCACCACTCACGGTGTTTAATGATGTAACATCATTCTCATGACGCATGTCATATGTGCCATCTAGTGGGTTCTCAACCACACTATCGAAGTTCATTGGGCCTCGCCCAGGACAATTGTTCTACAAAGTCGGATATTCCGACATCCAACATATTGACCGACTCGGTCCAATATCCGCGCCAAAAGCGCTTTTGCTTCCTAGCAGAGGTGTGTTCATGGCTCTCCAGAGCCCCACCAGGAGCATTGCGCGTTGCGCCAAAGGTCTTCGACCTCCAATCAATCCATGGATCATGACGTTCTAGCCATGCCATGCCTAAGATGAGGTCATACCTCGCATCCAGGTCTAAGACCAAACAGCGTTCTATGCTGTTAAAGTCCAAGAGCTTTACATTAAAGTCCATCGGGACTTGGGGTACCCTAACACGCGTAACTGTCGCTAAGCGAACTGTGACTGTGTCACGCGCTACAAGCGCTCCAGCATACTGCTGACTACCTTCCACGGTGGCACGGAGCACATAATTTCCCGATGCCCCCGAATCGATCAAAATGATCCATGGATTATTATAGCCCTCAATCATCCCTTCGACAACTAGCAAGCCAGGCTTGCATTCTCGTTCCGTTTTTGAGAGTTCGGATCTCTTTAAGGCTGGGCTTTATTACTTCTACCTTTTAGATGTTCAACAGAACTCAGTTCTTCCCCAGTAGGAAGCCCCACGCCTACTGGGTTCCGCCGTTTCCCCGCGGCAAACCAGAAGGTTTACCCATGGGGCGTCGGCCCTTTGAGGCCAAATATACCTTTCTTGCAGGGCATTGTGCCATCAAATGGCCTGTGCTTTTGCAGATATAACATCTTCGCACAATTTGCTGCTCCGCAGCATAAAGCTCAGCTTCTTCATCCTCCACTTGACTACAGTCCATGGGTACAGACCCATCAGACGAGTAGTTATAAGTGGCAGACCTAGCGGCCTTAAAGTTGGTCTCGGCATTCCATGCCACTCCAACAGCTTCCTCAAATGAGGACGGGCTTACCCGGAAGATTTCCGTTCTGTCAACGAAAAATCGGATGCCCTTCATGAAGACCGTGACGATCACTGCTTCAGGCATAGGGTCTATGACCATGGCAGCAATGAGAGTTCTCAACTTTTGTACATTTGCCGCAAGCTCACGCTTGCCTTGGCGACACGCTATAAATCGCGACCGATTACGGTGCATTTGGTTTGGCGGTGCATACTGCCGGGTCATCTGAACTTTCAGATTGGCCCATGTGGAAATGCATCTTGCAGTGATGCACCACATGTGAATGCCCATTTCTTGACCAATCCATCCAACTTGCCCGTGGCAAAGCCCACACGGTACGGTTCACAGGTGATGTCGGCTATAAATATAGCCGACTCAACCTGTCGGACCAAAGCATAAGGTTGTCACCTGCTCTGCCGTCGAACTTATCGACTTCCATATGTATGGGTTTTGGTCTGCGGACCACTTCTGGCACCATAGTCGCCATCGATAAAGGCGCAGAAGAAGGCATCTCTGCCTTTACATTCTCGACTAGAGCGTTGTTGTATTCTTCAAGCATATGAATTCGCTTGTTAACCTCTTCTTTCCCTTGAGCGATAAGTTATTCCACGCTCTTAGGGCCAAGGATAGGAAGCAGCTTCTGCAACCTTTCCTGTTGTGCCTGTGACACGCCAACCGCTGACATCTCATCGATGGACATTCTCATACAGAGAAGTAGTCGCAAACCCAGGTGCGGGATTGACTACAAGTGCTACCAGGTGTAGCCGAGCTACTGTAGCAAAGCTCCTTATGCACTATGTGCAGAGAAAGACGGGCTTCTAGAGCTGTGTGTTAGGGTTCTTTACCCTCTCAAGGCTAGATTCACAATCTTATGCCCTTTACGCTGTATTGACATCTACACCATTTGAACTCAGACCAAAGTTTGCAGACAATGCCAGAATGTACGAAAGCTCGACATCTGTGCAACCGGTGAAAATGTTTCAGTAAAGTTAAAATGATGGGTCGTTGCCAATTTCCAAGTGCAACTAGGCGAGCCTTCAAACGAGTGACATGTCCAAATTGATCTGCCTTTACGCACCAAACCCACATAGTACGAATAGCTTTTGCATCACTTGGTAAAACCGTTGTTGCAATTTCTTCCAGTACTTCTTTCTTGTGCAATACATCCATCTCTGCCAGTTGTGCGGCATACTTTTAATTACAATACTTGGAACGAGACGCGTCTCTACTATTTTTTCGCATCTTAACGTCCGCAGTCTTTATTGGGCTTACCGCTTTATCCAGTACGCGCGCGCAAGTAGCGTACGCGGTGTAGTCCTTGTAAGGCTTTGGTTGTGTCGCACTTAAGCGTCTCTTAAACCCGTTCCCTTCGATCGTTATTTGGAAGCTCCTTCAGCTGCTACCGAAGATGTTTCGTCACGATCTTGGCGCTTCCGATTATTGAGGCGTGCTAGCTCCTCATCATCTTCTTGGTTATCCTCATCATCTTTTTGGTTATCCTCATCATCTTCTTGGTTATCCTCATCATCTTCTTGGTTATCCCCATCATCTTGGTAATGCCACCTGTAGAGGTATCACTTAAAACATCACTGGCAGATTGTAGACATGTAGTCAGGTGTGCTTACACTGGGTAGCTCCTGACTACTATGGCTACCAGTTTCTTTTACCGACATACTGTTCTCCGTATAATACCAGATAGAGAGAAATCTAGCGTGATCTTCATCATTATCGTCGTCATCGTCATTGATATCATACACCTTGTCACCGTTGAGCATGTCATCACATCCCGGTATGCGATCTTTATCTTAGCCCCACATCCCATCGTGGAACGTAGCTTTCACTAGCGCAGACCCTCGACGCAATATTACGAACTCCATGTTTGATGCTAATTTAACGGCTAGGTAGACTCTCGACTTCTTGGCCATGTACCATGCGGCTCAGTGCATTGAGCAGGTCGGACCGTGCTAGACTTCGCTTACGCCAAAAAGTGTGGTAATGCACCGACCACCGCTTGCATAGCAACCACGCCAAGTTACTACGTGGTGCGCCTCGCGCACGTTTTGATAGCGTTATGACCGACTTATAGCATGGAGGTGAGACTTGTAAGAATTTCCTGAGAAGAAGCAGATAACTATGTGATAAAGCTTTTTTTGTTTCGTTCCGTTGTATAAATGTGTTCATGCTTGCTATTACCGGCGGGTTATCGGTTTAATCAAGACATTCATCGCCTCGGCAGTCTCGGGAGCCAATTTGTAGATGGATTCAGCCACCATGCGCTGCTCCACGATTCGCGACCAAATGAGTTTTCGGTACTCAGCGTCAGACAGCCCTACCTCATCAGGCTCTGAGGTTCTAGGTTGAGGTATCTCAATAAGCTGAACGCCTCGAAAGGAGTTGACCTGCTGATCTGCAGTTCGTGACAGCACAGAGAGTGGGGACTCTTCTTCCGCGGGTAGTCTAACAATTGCCGCACCTGCGTGAGTAGTCATGCCAGTGATAGCAAGCTTTTTCGAGCGTTTGTCAAGAGTTGTTGAAACCCAACCGGCTTGGACTTCGGCACGCGCGACATCTACGGCTGCAAGGTGGTCAACTTGGAGGACACACCGCTTGCAAATGAGCACTTCTTTTTGTCGGAGCCACAATTTGGAATTCACTTCTTTCATGATACGTGGAACTCGACAACGGAAGCATGTGATTCGAGAACACAGCATGCAAAAGAAGGCGCCACTTACCAGTTTAAAGAGTCGTCTTGTGCATGTTCCACAGCTACTTGAGAGTTCCAGAGAATGAGATTGGGGCCAAAGAGACAATTGATAATCGCTTGAAGAACCTGCGTGACTAGAGCAGCTGACGCTACTGCTAACTTGTGGATGTTGAGTCGAGGTACGATCTCTGTGTCTTGCTCGACCTCCATCCATTAGCTGACGGAAGCACCACATAAGTTTCTTGAGGTTGGCACACTCGACTGTGTCCCAAGAGCTGATAAATTCTGTTGATTCTGCCTTTAGAGCTACCGAGTTTAGTATCTTACCACATGTCTCCACATATCCCTTGACGAACACGTCGACTTTGGAGTGTCTGCTTCCGAGACCTGCCGGGACCTCTCTGAAAATGGAGCAGCGTGAGATGTGACCACGCGTTACTTTTGCTCCCAACCAAGGCGTCGCATCTCGATATTGTGACAAGTTTACGGAGTGGAGAAGATGGTATCCAATACGTTCTCCATTTGGTCGCGTTGTAACTCCTGTAGCTTCGAGGACCACCAAATCTCTAGCGCGTACGATGCCTTTGAACGCAGTAGAAGGACCTTTCACAAGCCATTTGATACCGAGGAATCGAAACGGGTCGGCATTGCATGGAGCGTCAATGCAAGCTAGCACCGCTCCATTGATTAGTTTGTTCTGAAGTACTGTATCTTTGAGCAGCATGTTTTGTGCATCGGCTGACGTGATGCCGTACACAACGTCGTCTAGAGTCCCTTCGATCCAGCCGGTGGCCACCAGCAATTTGGGCTCCGTCCACTGGCTGGCATGAAATGCCATGGACACTCGGTCCATTATATTGGCTTCGGACCGTGAAGTTGGGTAGCGTTCCTCGTACACTGTGATGTGGTCTTTCTTCTTGACGGGCTTCCACCGACGTTGACTCATGGATCTTTGTCTCGGGTCAGCGTCGTAGGTATCGTAGTCCCGCAAAGTATTCGAGAGTAATTGAGTCGCTAATACTCGAAACTTTTCACGCTGATCCGTTGACAGCTCAACGGGTGGCAGGGCACTGGTCGTCCAGGTCGTGGGGCAGAAGTTCTCAGTGACATCGCTAAGTTGCCGCGTCATCATCTTCTCGGCTTATGTGTAGGACAGCAAAATTGAAAGTGACAAATTGGTGGGGTAGTGTGCTCTGTGTTAGAATGAGGTAGCAGATAGGGCCTAAGCTATACTTGTTGATCGAATCACGTACAATTCGTGATACTGTGGTGAGTCCCGTGTGACAGCATATGAAGTCGATACTCGGCCTTTGACGCAGTCTTTCAGTGCAGTGCGGTCTTTTTGTCGACAATTGACAGAGTTGCTGTGGCTTCGCATGAGTCAAGTAACGTTTCAGTGTCAACACATCAGCTGCACCTGTGCGAATGCTTGCAAGATGAAGACCTAATACCAAACGATGATGTAGTTAATACCTCGACTTTCACTACCTATAGCGTGGACATACTGCATTCAAGACATGTCGGTATTTCTCATGTATTGACTCCCTGCGTTTTCATTCTCTCGTTCATCTCTCATAAACTACCTTGAGATGAGCGTTTTCTATTCTCTTTAAATCTGTTCACTTGTTCTTTCTCCAACGGAGCTGAAGCCCAGACCGCAGCAAGAAGCTGTTGTACGCTTTGCAATCTGGTACGTGTTTTCCACGGCAATTTGCAACTCCGTCAATTGTTGCCACAATTGTTGGCGCTCTTGTTTGGACTCTGTAAACGCGGGAGTGATGGACCAGCCGTCCTCGTTGTTTTCGTCCACGGCGGTGTATCTCTCGCTGTCTTGGATGGATAAAGGCCAGCTGATCGAATTGATAGGTGAGGTTGTGCTCATAGAATCGGCAACCGTCGAACATTGCGAAAGAGTTCTCGACTGGCACTCACGAAGCATCGTAGATTCTTCGAACAGCACTGGCCTCCACTCGTCATTCACCTGCTTCCGCTTCTTGTGACGACCAAACCAGCAAGACCTAGAGCGTTCAAGACGAGCGTTAGGAACCTGACCTTGTTGCTGCTCAAGCTGTTGTAGACACTGAAGAACCATGGCGCTGACAGCACTGCCTGAGGAATCAACGTTCGAGTGTGTAGTTGCATTCGGATCTGCCATGAAGAAGTTCGATTCTGAAGTAGGGTCTGCGCTAGCATATCTACAGGACGGTGAGGGTACTGCGGACCATGGCGCGTGTGCAATGACAGATGGTGCCTGCCGAGACTGGTTGCTGAGACAACAGCGGTAGCGGCCTTCGTCGATTTCCTGCTTTGCGATACTTATCACAGGCTCAAATCGAACTTTTGCCACACACGACCGGCAAATGACACGCTCTTGACGTTCAAGCTTTAGATCGCATGTAGTGGAGATTAGCGTTTTGCTAACGTGGCACTTGAAGCATACTGCAATGTGACAGAGCGAGCACACGCCAGCTTTCTTCATTTTGCGGCCACATGTGCCACCGCACCGATCATTGAGGCTGATTGCAGTGGAGCTATGCAAAAAGATGCTTCTTGACTCAGTATAGCTCGTACTGGCGTGCGATAGCATCGGTGTTCCAGCGACGGGGCCCTGGGAGCACATCGCTGCGTCTTGCTCCCAAGTCACACGCTGTGGGTTTTCAAGAAACCACTGAAGCTTCTTGACCTGGCTACATTCGGCAGCATTGCATGCGCTCAGAAATTCCGTTGACGCCGTTTTGAGAACCACCGAATTTAACAGTTTGCCGTGCTGCTCCACGTAGCCGCGAACGTACACGTCAACTCGTCGCCCACTCTGTTTCTCTATAAAGATCTTACAGCTTGAGATTCTCCCGCGCATCAAACAGCGTCCAGGTAGCGTGTCATATCCGTCCAAGTCCACCGAGTGCAGTACTTGATAACCGATGCGTTCGCCATTGGAGCGCGTGAAGACCCCCGTTGCCTCGATGACTACCAAGTCTTGCAGCTGCACAAAGCCCCGAAATATGGCGGGAGGTCCTCGGACGAGCCACTTGATTCCAAGAAACCGGAACGGTACGTCGGACGAAGGTCCGTCAATCTGCGCTAGTACAGCGCCGTCCGTAAGCGGATAGCGCATTATGGCAGTTTTTAGCATCATGTCTTGGGCATCGGCCATTACGACACCGTACATGACGTCGTCAAGCGAGCCACCAATTGAACCCACGCTCATCATCAGTCGAGGCGTCTTCCACTTGTTTTCGATGAGTCTCTGGTGCTCCGGAGTGTCGAAGCACGTCCCCGTGATGATTTTGGGCGGGTGTCGCTCCTTGAAGACCGTCAAGTTGGCTCGGGTCTTGACCCTTTTCCATCCTGTGTGTTTGGCCAAGTCCCGTTCGGACTCCGGCAATTTTTGAAACGAATCGGCATGTGCCAACGTCTCACGCACCAAATCGCGTGCCAGGTGGCGGAATTTTGACTCCTGCTGTGCTGTGAGGTTCAACGGTGGGAATGCGTTCTTGTTCCATTTGATGCCTTTCATAGCAAGTGTAGTCGACTACAAGGTGCAATTTCGATAATGAGCACAGAAGCTAAGTCCAAAGCTTGTACTAGTGAAGGAAGCTTTCAGATTGATGGAGGTCATGATGGCAACTATCTGACACTATGCCAGAACTAGACAGAGTTGGTTGCATGACTTCAAGCGACTCGGACACGAAACCAGATGCAATGAACGGGATTTGTAAGCTTGAGCAAGTAGTGATGGATATCGCGACAGTCAGTCACGTCAGACGTAGCAATTCTTGTAAGTTTCATACAGCTACACAATACCGGATGCTTGCTATTCGCAGTATCTTAGGCTCCTTTTGTAGATCTGTGTTGGTCCACTATCGTCACTTGGTTCAACGACCGATTGACTGTCGATACGATGGATTTGTAAGAGTTTCAGCTACAATGTCTAGAGATCAAGCTGACGATTTGTGGCGTGCTGCAGCGGCACAACTGTTCTGCCTCCTATTCTTTTATCCCCCTACACTTGCTCTGTTTTTGACATATATCGGGTGCCATGACGCTCGAATCAGCCGGCTCTTGTCCTCTTACCCACACTATGCGTCCTACTCACCGCCTCAAGGCCGTAATCTAAAGGCCAGTGGCACGGTGAACACACTGGCGACCAAAGGAAGAAACCGAATAGGGTAGTTCTCGCTTGCATGAGACTGAACACGCATGTATGATGATGATGGGCAGCGTGATCATGGCGTAATGCTTCTTTCTATGATCGAATCGCTTTCGTTCCGCTATGAGACTGTTTGAATCAGTCTTGGCGGGTCTGATGAACGAGAACTAAGGTCCGTGGAAGGTTTAGTTGTTGATTTCACTATCACGCTATGATATGTACTAGCAGTCTTCTGCTGGCATGGTCCGTTTGGGTTGCGCTCTTAGTTTGCAGTGCATGAAATCCACCGCATTGTAGCTGCGTCTCCGATGCGATAGCGACAACGACCAAAAGCAAACGCGAAGCATATCTAAGCAAATTGGAAGACGTCAGCCACGAACTCAAGCAAATCACCACGTGAGTCCTGATATTCTTATGCCCCAGGCACTAATGTTTGTCTTGGTGTGAATGTGATGGCGTTTTGATTGGCACGGGCTTGTCCACTGTAGCAAGTAAGATAATAGAATTGACCACGTTGCCATGTAAAAAGTGGCTTCACGTCTGTCAAAGAAGCGCTTGCTTCATGCATTCCACCACGTTGTTGGTCACAATCCACATTCATACACCGAGTGTCTTCAGCTTCCGTAAAGCGTTTTGGACGTATCATTGTCTGCAGTGCCCCCTCGCTTTTAGTGCTGACGGCTGTCTGTAAAAAGATCGACCCGGCGACGATAAAGCCAACAAGTCAACAACATCCATCGCACAGTACCGACTTTTATCTAAAGCGCACAAGTGCGTCTAAATTCGAGGGACGCATCCATATACAACTTGTCTACTGCACTTATTCATGTCTGAGTGTACTTGTGATGAACGCAAAGCTTACAAGAAGGCTTCATTTTGTATTACCAAGCATAGACAAGATAGCAGCATCAATGCGTTTGAATCATATGCTATTGCGTCATGTAGCACTAAAGGCAAAGCTCTGACCAATGCAATTTTGCGGTAAGAAAGTGGTTGCTATTGCGCCCTTTCAAACAAGTAGCATGTGGCTGACGGTCGGTACTTTTCGATCATTCGAAGCCGTAAAAAGAACAGGACCACTTGTACGCCAATGGGCATCGGCTGCGATGGCATCAGCAAAACATTGTGCATTCGAAAAGGCACGCCAAGCGCAAAGATGTAAAGCCAGCTTCTGACGTGCGTTAGCTAGAGATGTCGAAGGTTCTATGCGCTTGTGTCGTGCGTCCATAATGTCTGTCAATCAAAGGTGATGAGCGACAGTCTGATTGAGCCACGTTAATCGTATTCACTTTGGCTCTATCGTTGGCGTAATCTTTCGATGCGATGTCAAACTACGATCGTACTTCGAACTGATAATTGCATCGCAAACTGTAAGGTATCCTGCCTGCCCTACGCAAGGATCATGGTCAGTAACGATCTCAACGGATCGATTCCAAATGATACACTCGGGTATCAATTTGCAGTGCATACTTTATGGCAACGCATTCCCTGTCATCTTTAGGTTTTGGCAAGCAGACGGATAGTAAAGGACATGATGACATTCTTCGTAATCGGATTGCATCGCGTCTTTGGTTCCGAGGCGATGAACGATCTTGGCCGGTCACGTCACGATTGGCGTTTCAGCCAAGCCATAGCTTGAAGGCATCAATATCCATTGGCTTGCCATAGATTAATCATATACAGCTTCTCTATACAAGCTGCGAGCGACTCTCTCCACCGTATATCGCAAGGCCTAAGGTACTACTTCATTTTCGGAATAAAAGCCACCTTGATGGTCTCAAACAGAGTGTAGCCCAATGGACGTGATGTGATTGCTTTTGCTCCGAAGATGCAAGTAATTTTTATTGTATACAAAGTGCAGTTAGTTACGCATGAGCAGATCCGTCAAATGCGTTTAGCATCTGTCAAAGCGTTGGAAGGGTAGTTTCAATCATGGCATGACAGAACAGATTCATGGCGCATCGCTTACAGGCATCTCTACCATAAACTTGTTGAATTACGGTATTGACACAGCCTTTAACTTGTCATTGTTCATCTACTAGCTGCCGTCAAACATGAGCTTCAAGCATCAGGCCCTAGTCGAACCGAATCTGATCCAGAAGACAATATTTGCTGCCTGGAAACCTTGGTGTGATTGCTAGTGACGTCAACCTCACGTACATGTCTACATTCGTATTGCGCTGACGGCGACGAACGCGTGGATACGCCGCAGGAGCTATATCTCCAAAAAGCTTGACAGTCTCGTAATGGAGTTGGTACCCGATTGGCCGTCCACGTGACAAGTTTTAACAAATGGAGCTAATGAGGATGAAACGAGGCAGCTTTGTTGCTGCTTGATGGTCTTGCGGAAGAGTACCGGTGATCAGCAACGTGCTCGAAAACACGCTGAGCTGACGATAGCGTACTCTAGCCACGATATCTCCGGGTTTGAGTCATACATATGAATGAGAAGCGTTCACGGTCAACAAAGACAATGACCAACGTCGAAGAAAAGAAAGTGTTTCGACTGTAAGATGACTTGAGAGCAAGCGTAAAAATTTGGGTTCACTGCAGCACTAATCAATCGACAACTCTACGTGGCTTGCTGACTGAGGTGCAACCTCGCATCTGACCAGCGTTTGGGACAGGTTTGTGTCAATGACGGAGCTAAAGGAGCAGGTTTGCATAACGACTGCAGACGGTGCCAAAGTCGACGCAATTGCGAAGAGTACCGTCTGTATGATGCCGTAGACGACACTTCTACATGTAGTCGTTGTCGGATGTTTTGTAGATAAAGGAAGCCCCATTCTCGGTATTAAGCTGACTAACAAGGACATTGCTGCACTGTTTAGTAAGGACAAGTGTTTGTTTGCTGTGGCAGTACAAATGTCATGGAAGCGCAGCACTATAGAATGTCTAGACGACAAAGAAAGAGAAAGCTCTGACGTGTCATGCGAGGACGGCGCCTCGTAAAAGTTATGAGCATTGCGCATCGCTGTCTTGGCCACATTCGTACAAATGCGATGAGTAGCTACAATTCATGGCTGATAGGAGAGATGGGCCACATTGTTGAAGATGGTGTTGGTTTTAAAGGTACGCTATCGCAAGATCACAGTTTTATGGTCGTTTCGTGACGGATGCGCGGAGATTCAAGGCAGGAATGGGTATGCGTGCAAGGTCATTTTGGCTGGTGATGTTGTATAATAATTGGCGGTAAGAAAGGTAGCTTAGCATCAACGTGCAGGTAAGACGGTAATGACAAAAACAGTATAAGCAGAGACGTAACTGCGCATTTTGCTCCTTGTTAAGCGTCTCCACGTTTCGAATGTGCTGCGTGACGATGACGGTCTTCTTCCTTGGCAAGCTAAACCTGCATCCCTTCATTTCATCTACCTTGCCGATGTTGATACCTTGCTTTCCATGCTCACCCAGCGACATGTTTCTCACATCTCTATGCACTTTACACGGCAAGCCAAAGGCCACTGTGTCGCTTAAATCTGGGCTTGCTCTTCGTGATCATTTGCGACGGTTACTGTCTTCCCAAATTCGCTTTGCTTGGACTTCGATTAAGGATATACACCGCATATTCCGCGTCATCTCCCCAGAAGCTTAATGGCATATCCCAGCCAAAGATCATGCTACGCACCATGTTCACGATGGGATGCACTTTGTGTAGTGCATCCACTCTTCTTTTCCGCTACTTGCTTGGTTACGGATCTCCCTCACCTGTCGCGCAATACCAGTGACCTTGCAGAATATCTCCAATGTCCTGTATTCCCCTCCACCGTCCGTCCGCTAAACGTGAATCGGCAGTTGAACTGTCGCTGGAAGAAAACCATTGAAGAGCTTGATCTTCTAAGCTGCAACATCCTCGGACGTTGCCAAGAAAAGAACCATGATATGCTTGATCCTCTGAGCTGCAACATCCTCGGACTTTGTGACAGTAAATTGTCCGATGGTCGATAAAGTTCACCTTGCAACGGTTGCCCAACCTGTACCGCAAGTCATTGGTCTCTTCAAGTCGGAGCATACGAGATCTCCACTTACATCAATCAATGCGTTTCTTTAGTGTCTTATCGGTGCAGTCTTCCAATGTCTTATCGGTGCAGTCTTCCAATGTCTTATCGGTTCAGTCTTCCAATGTCTTACCGGTGCAGCCTTACACTGTCTTTCGGCTTCTTGGTTTGTTTTCCTTGGGCGCAAGCCAAACAGTTAGCGCACAGCTCATCCTAAAGCTGTATTCCAAGTGTCGTTAAAACGATGCGCAAGTTGTTTATGAAATGCATTAGAAACTTTTTCGCACATCCTGACCGACGTCCTCCTTGTGTTGCGCAAGTACTGACATCAGCACGTCTCGCCCCGTCGCATCTAGCTCGCATTCATATGCGCACACCACCAACACATTATTGCATATTCTCGCGTCGGGGACAGGCGGTCCTTTGTTCAATGCAGCTACCACACGGTACTGGCACCGGTAGGATATTTCGCATCCTTTAGCCTCCAACAATCCATACGAAACAGTGCTATACTCGAGGTTTTCCGCAAAGTATACATCCGATAGGTGCACCTTCGTTCTTATTCCCATTACTGCCGTTGTAAAAATTACACTTCCGCGCATCGTTATGCGAAAGCGTCCACCATCCGCAGCCACGCACTCGCTGAAGTATTCCTTAGGGTCTTCTAGCCGTAAAGCATCATTTACCTGGTCGAACTGATCCTATAACAGGGTTACACGAAGGTGTGTACTGTACATACACAACTGCCACAACAATGTGGTGTGGCTGTACCTTGGGTACAAAGTAGGTGATGTGACCGTACCTGAAGTACGAAGGGTCACATCGTGGCAGAGAGCCACGTGGTCACTATACTTAGTTAAGTATAGTGATTATGCATATTTGCATAATAATATTAGGCTACAGAGCCAGTAATAGTGACTAGCACTAAGTATAGGATAGGTGCTTCTATATTTAGTGTTAGAAGATAAACATAAATATAAATCAGTTTCAAACCTGCTCTACAAGCATCACTGCTTGAGCGTATTATTCCTCCTGAGGAATTAGGTATTTATGATACTAGCCTCTTTGAGACGCGGTTACAACAACCGATAGGCACAAGCTTGTAAAGCTAGCCTTGAGAGGGTAAAAAATCCTAACACACAGCTCTAGAAGCCCGTCTTCCTCTGCACATAGTGCATAAGGAGCTTTGCTACAGTAGCTCGGCTACACCTGGTAGCACTTGTAGTCAATCCCGCACCTGGGTTTGCGACTCGCTGTATGAGAATGTCCATTGACGAGATGTCAGCGGTTGGCCTGTCACAGGCACAACAGGAAAGGTTGCAGAAGCTGCTCCCTATCCTTGGCGCTAAGAGCGTGGAATAACTTATCGCTCAAGGGAAAGAAGAGGTTAACAAGCGAATTCATATGCTTGAAGAATACAACAACGCTCTAGTCGAGAATGTAAAGGCAGAGATGCCTTCTTCTGCGCCTTTATCGATGGCGACTATGGTGCCAGAAGTGGTCCGCAGACCAAAACCCATACATATGGAAGTCGATAAGTTCGACGGCAGAGCAGGTGACAACCTTATGCTTTGGTCCGACAGGTTGAGTCGGCTATGTTTATAGCCGACATCACCTGTGAACCGTACCGTGTGGGCTTTGCCACGGGCAAGTTGGATGGATTGGTCAAGAAATGGGCATTCACATGTGGTGCATCACTGCAAGATGCATTTCCACATGGGCCAATCTGAAAGTTCAGATGACCCGGCAGTATGCACCGCCAAACCAAATGCACCGTAATCGGTCGCGATTTATAGCGTGTCGCCAAGGCAAGCGTGAGCTTGCGGCATATGTACAAAAGTTGAGAACTCTCATTGCTGCCATGGTCATAGACCCTATGCCTGAAGCAGTGATCGTCACGGTCTTCATGGAGGGCATCCGATTTTTCGTTGACAGAACGGAAATCTTCCGGGTAAGCCCGTCCTCATTTGAGGAAGCTGTTGGAGTGGCATGGAATGCCGAGACCAACTTTAAGGCCGCTAGGTCTGCCACTTATAACTACTCGTCTGATGGGTTTGTACCCATGGACTGTAGTCAAGTGGAGGATGAAGAAGCTGAGCTTTATGCTGCGGAGCAGCAAATTGTGCGCAGATGTTATATCTGCAAGAGCATAGCCATTTGATGGCAAAATGCCCTGCAAGAAAGGTATATTTGGCCTCAAAGGGCCGACGCCCCATGGGTAAACCTTCTGGTTTGCCGTGGGGAAACGGCGGAACCCAGTAGGCGCGGGGCTTCCTACTGGGGAAGAACTGAGTTCTGTTGAACATCTAGGAGATAGAAGTAATAAAGCCCAGCCTTAAAGAGACCCGAACTCTCAAAAACGGAACGAAAATGCAAGCCTGGCTTGCTAGTTGTCGAAGGGATGATTGAGGGCTATAATAAGCCATGGATCATTTTGATCGATTCGGAAGCATCGGGAAATTATGTGCTCCGTGCCACCGTGGAAGGTAGTCAGCAGTATGCTGGAGCGCTTGTAGCGCGTGACACAGTCACAGTTCGCTTAGCGACAGTTACGCGTGTTAGGGTACCCCAAGTCCCGATGGACTTAAATGTAAAGCTCTTGGACTTTAACAGCATAGAACGCTGTTTGGTCTTAGACCTGGATGCGAGGTATGACCTCATCTTAGGCATGGCATGGCTAGAACGTCATGATCCATGGATTGATTGGAGGTCGAAGGCCTTTGGCGCAACGCGCAATGCTCCTGGTGGGGCTCTGGAGAGTCATGAACCCACCTCTGCTAGGAAGCAAAAGCGCTTGTGGCGCGGATATTGGACCGAGTCGGTCAATATGTTGGATGTCGGAATATCCGACTTTGTAGACACTGTAATTGTCGAGGACAATTGTCCTGGGCGAGGCCCAATGAACTTCGATAGTGTGGTTGAGAACCCACTAGATGGCACATATGACATGTGTCATGAGAATGATGTTACATCATTAAACACCGTGAGTGGTGTTGGTGGCTGCAAGCCAAGATGTCATGACATGAGTCCAAGTGACATGGGTGACGAGAAGCTGACCCTGGAGGACCGGGTGAAGTCACAAATGGATGTTATCGTTGAGGACAACGAGGTGCATGTACCTAACAACGAGATACTGGCCAAAGAGGGCCGAGTGAAGTCATCAATGGATGTTATCTTTGAGGAGAATGAGGTGCATGCACCTAATGACAAGGTACTGGCCCTGGAGGGTCGGGTGAAGTCAAAAATGACGGTTGTCTTTGAGGACAACGAGGTGCGAACACCACATGACGAGGCATTGACCCAAGAAGGCGGGGTGCAGTCAGTAAACGAAGTGGTCTTTGATTTTGAGGTGTGTACACCTGTGGACGCTGATGCGTCTGATGCTGAGAGCATCATGAGTAGCGATGATGATATCGTGAGCGACGGTGATATTGAACAGCTATATACACTCGTCAATGGTTTGTCTGGGTATGTTGAAGACCGGTGGCTCTTTCAGCAATGCTCGCAGTAATTGCTCTGTAAGAGCTGGACGAGTTGTCCTTTGCCGAGTTTGGCAGTGCCTTTCAGGCAGACGACATCGCCGAAGTGGTCGTTATACGACCTGAGGAGTCGTTAAACTCCTCATCGCTTTGAATAAAGCAGTTCTTGAAGATAACAAGAAGGCGATGAATGCGCGTAGTGGATCACAGATCCTGAAGGACCCTTCGAATACTTATTATCCTTTGTTGAAGGAATATGAAGATGTTGTCTTCAGAGAACCTCCGACGAGCTTACCTCCGGATAGAGGTGTACGTCATGCGATTGACTTGGTTTCAGAAACCAAATACTGTGTGACGCGACAGTGGCCGCTGCCACGAGAACAATGTGACGTCATTGACGATTTCTTTCGTGCAAGGCAGGCGGGAGGCATGGTGCGTGATAGTAAGTCTTCTCACTCTACGCCCACGTTTTGTGTGAGAAAGCCTAATGGTAAGTGGCGAATAGTGCATGCTTACAATAAGCTGAATGCAGCCACTACCCCGGATCAAACACCAATTCCTCGCAAGGATGTTCTTCAGAACAATATAGTGGGATGTACGATGTACAATGCCCTCGACTTAGTCGATGGATATTACCAACTGCTCATGCAAGCTAGTGATATTCCGCTGACAGCGGTCAGTACTCTGAGCGGTATGCTCTGGGAGTGGTTAGTGATGTTCCAAGGGCTATCTAACGCACTTGCAACGTTTAATCGTCTAGTGACGCAGTTATTTCGGCCCCATAGGGCGTATGCACAGACATACTGTGACGATACATTTGTCCATAGTCGAGCAGAAAATGGCAAGACTGATGTGGAGAATCACATCGAGCACCTGCGAGCTGTGCTCGGTTGCATGAGGATGCATAAGCTGTATGCCAATATTGACAAATGCATCTTCGGTGCGGAGAGATTCCCTTTTTGGGATGCTTCATTAGGATGCGAGGAATCCGGGCAGACCCTGTTAAGGTCAAAGCCATAGTGGATTGGCCGGTTTCGAGGAACCAGAAGGACCTCCACAAGTGGTTGGGTTTGGCAAATTACTTGCACAAGTATAGCCACAACTATGCGGAAGTGGCTAGACCATTGTCGAATGTTCTTAAGAAGGATGTGGAATGGCGTTGGAACACCGAGCACCACGAGGCTTTTGAAGCCATTAAGGAGAGTCTCCTTCAGGCACCAATTCTGGCTCTACCTGATTCTGATCGCCCGTTTAGTGTCGTATGTGACGCTTCGGACTTTGCCATTGGCAGTGCACTTTTGCAGGTCGACTCTAAGGGTCGAGAACGCGTCATCGCGTATGAGTCTCGTCAGTTGAAAGCTGCAGAGAAGAACTATCCAGTTTATGACAAGGAGCTACTTGCGATGAAGTATGCCCTTGTTAAGTTCGGGGTACACCTGTTGGACTCAAAGCCGTTTGTGGTCTATACCAATCATGCGTCATTACGCACAGCGACACAGTCTTCTAATCTCTCGCAGAGAATAGCTCGTTGGTCTTTTTGTGGAGTATAACTTCGAGGTGAAGTATAAGACGGGAAAACAGAATGTTTTGGCCGACGCGTTATCGCGTAGACCTGACTATGAGCTTGCTCATCTCACTGTTGTGGGTTTGTCAGTAACGGATCGTATCCGTGTAGCGTATGCACGCGATGAGGCATGTGTTGCCATTCTGCAGGCGCTGGGTAGCGCAGAGTTTGAAAACTCTAAGGTGAAGTTGTCACCACGTAATCGTTAGATTACATCGTTATGCACTGACCGATGGTCTATTGTACTATATTACGGGGTTAGATGACCAGCCACGTGTTGTGGTTCCTCATGATGAGGACCTCAAGTATCAGATACTTTATGAGGCTTATGATACACCACTTGGTGTTCATTTAGGTCGTGAGAAGACCTACAGCTCGGTGAGCACGCATTATTGGCGGCCCAAGTTGTACAAATCGGATGTCATCTGCGTACGCACGTGTGAAACGTGTCAAAGGGTGAAGCTCTCGTCTAATATGGCTGCTCCTTTGTCGAGCTTGCCTGCACCCTCGGGGTTGCGGCAGTCCATCAGTATGGACTATGTGTTTGGCCTACCGCGCGATGCGGCAGGGAACATTGGGATTGTGGTCTTTGTAGACCGATTGAGCAATATGGCTCATTTAGCGGGAGTGCCGGACTTCATTGATGGAAAAGGAACAGCAAAGCTGTTCATGGATCGTGTGTTTCGACAACACGGAATGTCTGTGGCAATCGTCTCGGATAGAGACCCCCGTTTTACGGGTAAGTATTGGACGTCCGTCTTCAAAGTGCTTAACACTCGATTAACCATGTCCACGGCGGATCATCCGCAGACCGATGGTCTGACGGAAAGCGTGAATCGCGTAATTGGTGATATGCTTCGGAGTGTTTGTGCTAAAACACCCAAGAATGGATCACGATGCTCCTTCTCATAAAGTTTGCGTTGAACAACGCGGTGCATGCCACGACAGGCTTCACCCCATTCTATGTGAATGGTTTGGTTATCCCTCGCGTTCTTTTAACGCTACCCCCTGCCACATCAGGGCTTAATGGAGGAGAGATAGTCGAAGGCTTGGCTGATATCAACCCGGTTGCTATGCACGAAAAGGTGGAAGCGTTTCTGTTAACGCGTTTTGACGTATTACGTCGCGTCAAAGACGCTATGGCTGAACGCCACGATGTTTAAAAGGAACACGCGGATGCCAAAGGCAGGAAAAGCAAACATGAGTTCAAAGTGGTTGATTTAGTTTTATTGAACGCTAGAAATTTGCCCACTTGCGCAGTGTCTGCGGTATATAAAACCAAACTGCGTCCACGCTTTATCGGACCTTTTAAGGTCATAAGCAAGAAAGGCTTAGCCTATACGCTAAACCTTCCGAAGAAGATAAGAACACATGCTGTATTCTACGTGGGCTTACTAAAGCCATACCTCAACCCTGCCTCGGTGGACTTCGAGGGGTTGTCCCCATATCCCCGGCCGACGGAGGCGGGAGGAACAGCGTCGGAGGTGCATATGGACGCTGAAGGCGTACCAAAAGATCATGTATCGATGGGCCACCGACCCCCGCCAACGCTGACTGATGATCTGGGTCATCAACACTTTCACGTCGAGCGTCTATTGGCGCGACGTCTTCATCAGGGCCACACCCAGTATCTGGTATAGTGGAGGGGGTACCCTCAGTCGCATGACTCATGAAAGTACGAGGTACCCCTACGGCAAGACTGCCCGGACGTCGTTGAAGCTTTTGATCGGGAAGATCAGAAGCGGCGACAGCAGTCGCCGTATGCTTCTAGCACTAAGTGCTGTGAAAGCAAGGTCAGTAGTTAGGCTTCACCTCTGACCTTCTTGGGAAGCAGTTGCTGGTACCTTACTCGCGTGAAAAGTACTATTTTCTGCTTTTATATAATTCATTTTTGTAGATTGTATAATTTATTATGTAAAAATAATAAAAATTATTTATTCTGAAAAACAATTAAGCAAGTTTACGACACTTTGGGGCTTTATATAAGCAAGTGGTAAACAATGTTGTGCTTTATAAGCAAAATAACACTTTGGGGCTTTATATAAGCAAGTGTGAAACACTATGAAGCTTATCAGAAGTGTACAACACTTAGGACTATATAAGCAAGTGTTTTAAGCACTTAAAGGCTTTTCAATAGCAAGTGTTCAACACTAAGGTGCGTTACAGGCACGTGTTAAACATTTAGGCGCTTTATAAGCAAGTGCTGAACACGAAGGTGTTTTAAAAGCAAGTGTTTAGCAAAAATGTGCTTTATAAGCAATTGTTGTACACTTAGGTGCTTGATAAGCTAGTGTTATACACGATGGTGCTTTATAAGCTACTGTTAGATGCTATGGTGCTTATACGCTAAAGTGAAGCGAAAATGTGCTTTATAAGCATAGGTGCTTTAGAAGCTAGTGTTAGACACTGATATGCATTGTAGCTAGTGTTCGACACTAATGTGCATTATAAGCTAGTGTTCGACACTAATGTGCATTATGAGCTAGTGTTAGCATTACGGTGCTTTGTGAGCAAGTGTTACACACTTATATGCTCAAAAGCTTAAAGCAAGTGTTGTGAACACTGTATTGCTTAAAATCAAGTGTTGTAAACACTTTAATGCGTAAAAGCAAGTGTTGCAAACACTGTATTGCTTAAAAGCAAGTGTTGTGAACACTGTATTGCTAAAAGCAAGAGCTGCGAACACTGTAATGCTTACAAGCAAGTGTTAAGTACCTTTTGCTGTGAAAGCAAGTGTTCGTGAACACACAAAAGGTATTAATAATGCCAGTGCTTGGTACTTAACGCTTATAAGCAAGTGTCGTAACACTTAATGCTTTAGCGTGAGTTTGATGCACTATATGCTCAAAGAGCGAGTGTTGTAACACCAGGATGCTTATAAAGCGTGTGTGCAATGCACGGGTGCTCAAAGAGCAAGTGTTAAAAACACTGAAGCTTTGTTCGCAAGTGCATGCACTTATTGCGAGGCAAGCTAAATGAGAAGAAAATGAATCGATGCCTCCAATTAAGTGCGAAAATTCGTGGGCACGTCGGGTCTTAGAAATTGGTGGAGGAGGGTGTAACGGGATTACACGAAGGTGTGTACTGTACATACACAACTGCCACAACAATGTGGTGTGGCTGTACCTTGGGTACAAAGTAGGTGATGTGACCGTACCTGAAGTACGAAGGGTCACATCGTGGCAGAGAGCCACGTGGTCACTATACTTAGTTAAGTATAGTGATTATGCATATTTGCATAATAATATTAGGCTACAGAGCCAGTAATAGTGACTAGCACTAAGTATAGGATAGGTGCTTCTATATTTAGTGTTAGAAGATAAACATAAATATAAATCAGTTTCAAACCTGCTCTACAAGCATCACTGCTTGAGCGTATTATTCCTCCTGAGGAATTAGGTATTTATGATACTAGTCTCTTTGAGACGCGGTTACAACAACCGATAGGCACAAGCTTGTAAAGCTAGCCTTGAGAGGGTAAAAAATCCTAACACACAGCTCTAGAATCCCGTCTTCCTCTGCACATAGTGCATTAGTAGCGTAGCTACAGTAGCTCGACTACAGATCCGCTATCAAGGTTCCAGTATTCTTTCTTGACTCTTGATCCGCCCATATCCAGGACGAAGTCAACATCATCCATAGCTCTTAGCTCAGCGCGACCCTACATGTACTCTCTTCAGGTGTCCTGGCTTTCCACACTTGTAGTACGTGTACACATCTCGATGGTCCTTGCGATTGCCTGTTGGGTTCTTGTGATAAGCTCGGCGCCCATTGTCGACGGTGTCAACCTCGTCCTTCCTGATATTCTTCCCGCGCAGTTCGACCTCAGTTGACTGCGCGAAGTGCGCAAGCTCTTCCGCCTGTTGCAAATAGTCTATGCGCGTGCGGCTAAACCTCGCTAATATCGACACCCTCACATTCGGGTCAGCGTAATGCACAATGTTGTCTTGAACTACGTTGTCGGCACCTCCATACGCTTCACTCACCGCCGGCAGATACAGTCGATGCTCCGTCCACCTTTGCTCGGAGCTCTCGAAGGCTGTGAGAATCTTCATACTTTGTGCGGGAGGTGATCTTTGTCGCAAAGTACGGAGTAGACTCTGAAACGCTTGCTATAGCGTCGGTTGCGATTCCAAAGGGAAGGCGGATACTTAATAAGCTTGCAGATTCTTCTCAAGTCGATTGCCACAGACGTTCTGGACGCGCAACGCATCTTGGAGAAGACTGTAACGTTCCGCAACCTCCTGTCGACTCTTGGTGCAATCGTAAAGGCTGTCAGCCATCTTTTGCTGCTCCGCCGAATTCGTCTTTGTCACAGTGCTAGCCTAAACGTTCGGGAACAACTCGGACGATTTGACTGATCTGGAGATCGGATCCCCCTCGGTTGAGAAATCTAGGTGCTAAGCGGTGTCCAGTGGAGTCGAAGTGCCAGTTTTTTGATTGCCTCCGTTTCTGCAATGGCTTAGGCAGGCGGCGATGACGACAGCGAATAAAAAAGAGTCATTCGTCAGCTACAAAGAAGTAATCGGGACGCTCGACGCCTTGCAACCGGTTTCTGCGGTCAATAACTATCTCAGGTCAACACACGTATGGCAGCTGTACTTAAGTGAAGCTTTACGGTCACAGTATACACATTTTGTATTCCGTACCTCTATAACTGATGCAATCGCATAACCTCGTAACCCTGCCACACAAAATGTAATAAACTTCGAATAGATTTTGATAGGCTAGCTAGTTAACAACTATGTCGAATACAAAGACGTTGCAATAGATCATTATTTAAAGCTACTAACTGTTAGATGATCATAAAGATGGGATCTACCAGCTGTATAATATACAACTCATATCGTTTTGTAGCAACCAAAACTCGTTGTCTGCACAGCGAATCCATTCAACGTATGCAGACAAAGCAGTTTTCTATCACATCGGAGCTGTCAAAAGTCAATCAAGTCAAGCTACGAGGCATACAAAGCGAATAGCTCATAGCCTAGTAAGAGCAAAGGCAATTGCTTACTGCGTTCAACTAGAGCCTGCTCCAACGCAAGGCTTGCATCGGTGGTGTCCATAATGTAGACAGCATCTTTTGATGCTCGTCCTAGAAAAAGTCGATGAAAATGGTTGTTTTCTCAAAATGTTTAGTAACAGCATGGTTGCGATAGTAGTTCAATATCTCCCAGCCTGCATCGACATTTAGAGCTTGCTGTCTACCCAGTGACTCAATGATTGTCTTTATTGGTGTAGTGTGTTAGACTTGGAAGCAATTACCCATAAAAGATCAAGATCGCTGATACTAGGCGATTGATTGTGTGAATCAGCATGCTGTAGACCATTTTTTGCTTCAGATACCTTGTAGAGTATACATAATCACAGACTAGAAAAAAAGGATTTAAAATGGGTAGAATCAGCCAACTTAAAATGTCTAAATAGCGATCAAAATTGTGTCAATAGCAGCTTTGTCCGACTCCAATGTTAAGTCACAATAATAATGGGACTAAAATGAGTCATTTTTAGATAAGAAAGCACAATACAGACGGATACTTAAGAGAGAGTGTATTAAGGTCAAAAGGGTTACAATAACAAAATCGAAACATTTTTTGGGATCTCTTAAAAGTGACCCAAATCCAACTGAATCAAGTGACTCATTTTTAGTATTCAATTTGACCTAAAGTCGTACGACAAATGCATCTCTGGACGTTTTCTGTCGTGGTCTTCAACGAACTTTTATCAGGATCATTTGGTGACTTCTTTTTGGTCCCTTTGTGAATTTCTAGGTCCATTTCGATCATGAACCTTTTGCGATCATTACGATCTATCGAATAACGTCCATATGTAATCGCATTTTTTCTATAGCATTTGTTACCTTTTGTTGCAATGTATTATGGGTGTCGGATTGTATGAGAAGTGACGTTATATCATAGCATCCATCATACATTGAGGAATTGCATTTGTCACGTGACCTTCATCTCAAATTTACTGGTCTACGTCGTCTATGTTTCATGGAAGAATCCTTGGTGAATTCAGTTCAGTTCAGATCTTGCCGTAAGAAAAGAAAAAAGGTCATGTAGCACATGATAAAAAAAATGAACCTAATCTTCGACCAGAAATAGGTCTTTCCTGTGTCAAACGTCCCCATTTCCTGCAACCCTTTTTCGCTGTTAAATAGTTTCATCTTTCGCACCCCTTTACACTCTTGCCACTAAATTCTGTTTTTTATCACCTACGGACTCGTCCTTTCTACTTTCACTTTTTACAAGCAGGTGTGCGGAAATCCAGTCAGTTTAGTTAGAGATAAGCTCGACGAAAAACCTTTCACTTTCGATTCTTTATCTCTAACCGTGCTTATCTTTTCATTCAACCATCACTCTCAAGTCCAAAAAATCTCCATTCAAGTCACTGTGGGAGCGTTGCAGACACAAGGAAACGAAGACAACACAGTCCCTGCACGGTAGAATAACATCTATATTTTGGTCAATCTTCTTCTTCTTCTACCCCTAAAGACGACACACATTCCGTCAAATATGATCATGAAAAACACCCTATTCAGTACGTACTTGTATCATTCTGTACACTCGCTTTAGAGAAAGTATCGATGTTTGCAATTTTTGTTTTTAATGAGACAACCCCAAAAAAAACCCCGATTTTATCGCTAACGTAAAAAACACACGTGGGTTAAATGCTATTACAGCCGTCTTCCTCTCGCTCATATCGCTTGGGACAGCATTTTACGCCATGGTCTATCCCGCGTGGTTCCAGCAACATTATCGTCGTGATGGCAACGATGTGTACCAGGGTTATGGGTTATTTGCCTTCTATTCCACCAATTCCCTCGAGTCTCCGTTCTACGCTTCAGCAACCGTCCTTCAGTACGCTGATTTTTGTGTGAATGACACAATTACGCCAAACTACATGCTGGGAGACGGCGTGGACTTTCATGAGGTTTTATGTGGAAACCGTATGATGTCTGTACAAGCTACAACCGCCACGGGCGCAGCCGTCTCCGTGCTTGGACTCTTGAGTGCCATTGGTGCCGTGTTTAACCCCACGGCTGGGTTTATGGAACGTGTTGTGTCTTTTTGCACCTTTGTGGGCTGTACGTTTGGGTTTTTTTATGTACTTTTGGGTTTTTTATGTACTTTTTGGGTTTTTTCTCATGTCATGTATCTGTGTTTGATTGTATTTGTGTTGGATATTATCCACCACTAGCTCTCTTATTGGCAATATCGTTAGTGATTTGGGGTGCATTGTTACAACAGACTTTGTATGGAATTGATACAATCAATTCGGCCTATTCAAGTTGTAAAGCCGACAATACTCAATGGCATTGTTGGTTCTATGGCTACAGTTTCTGGACGTGTTTAGCATCGGTGATTATTCTCTCCATTACTGGATATTTTAGTTCTGCTGGTCGAGCTGAAAAAATCCGATACTTTCGAAAAGAGTATGAACGGGATCTTGCTATTGCAATGCAGCAGAGTGTGGATACAGAAGGATACAGAGCACACAATACACAATTTGTACGTGGTGAAGCAGCGGCAGGATTTGGTTTCCAGTCAACGACGCAACAGGCCTATGGACAAGCTCCGACACCGGTGCAGTATAATCCAAATTCAGGACACGTGTATACGACACCACAGAGTATACAACCGTATGCTAATGTCTATGATAATCGACATTTTGCTCCCAAGCCAAAAGGATATCAACAGCAGGTTGGCAACGTCTCACTTGCTGCACCGTCAGCAAATGGACTTGGTCGGACAAACAGTAATGACAGTGATGCCGTTTATCCTAGCTATAGTGAACAGCGCAGGAACCATTCATTGTTGGGTCCTCAACTCAGTGGCGGTGTCGTGTAAGGTTTTTATCGACATTGTAGTAGCTATGGCCGAGGGTTGGTTGCTTGGTCTTCAGTGAATCAACAGATGGCTATTTTTTTTCTATTTGATTGTCGGATCAAGTTTATCCATGATAGCAATGGTTTGATAGTATGGCTGGCTACTGATACGACTTGACTGACATCAAGGATGAAACACAAAGAAGGTAAGCTTCTAGCTGAGTGCGAATGGATGGTATGTAGTTTTGATTTTTTTGTCCGGTGTCAGATCTTCATATTAAGATGTTTAAGATAGAGCATTTACCAAGTGGATGAAGGTGATAGTAGAAATATACGACAAGGAATAAATGAATGAACGAACGACCATTACAAAGGGAATACGGTGCGCCTTGTAGGCAATGAGTCTTACTCATTATCGTTGATTTTGTTGTATGGTGACTGAAGAATTGGTGGCTCGATATGACTCGTTCAGGATCTGCAGCTTGTAAATTCGTGAAGCACAAGGATGTTTTTTTCGGATCGACCAAAACGTTCTTATTCATATGTGCGTCTATAAACTCTTCTGCACCTCTACCATATCTCTGCTTGCTCCTGGCTATCTAGCGACCAAATAATCGTGCAATCCACGACGTTTTACCACTGTCAGTCTCATCCTTGCCATTCTGGACAATGTTGACCACACTTTCAGTATTAGACTTGACATCTGCAGTCGCATCTCGTCTTGTCAAACCTTGTGTCTGTCCGTTTGAGTTGTCAAGTCGAGACTTTGGTCGATTGTCCATGTTATCGTGCTTTCGAAAGCGATTGTTACTGTCAAAATGACTGCGGCGAGGAAAACGGCGGCCATTGGCGGCACCACTGGACCATTGCGTTTTTGCTTCCTCGCGGTTGTACGTAGTGTTGACAAGTCCTTGTTCCACGAGCTCTAACACTTTTGACTTTACTTCCAACGCCACATCATTCTCAACAAAAGTATCTTGGAAGCGGAATGACAACCACAGGTACAAGTCAACGATCTTGGCCTTAATCTCAATGTCACCCAGTGCCTCTGCAGTGCGAGGTGGATATTTCGGTAAGTAGATATCCAGCTTGACACGTTGACCCAACGAGTGAGCACGCGCATACTCAAGAAAAACCTTACGAGCCAGAGAATTTCGTAGACTCACAGGAGACATACAGAACGTGAACCGGTCTGAAAGTGATAGCTCCGTGTCACGTAGCAGCGTTGCAGCATCTTTCATATCTTGATGATTGCACATAAAGTAGTCACCATCCAAACGTGCTAACATCACGTACTTGTCCACGAGGTCAGCAAGATCCGTGATTCCTGGCAGTTGCTTGGCAAACTCTTCCATCTGCTCAGAAGACGGAAACAAACCTGCAGACTTGAGCGGAGTTGGTACCTCGTCGTACGACTCTTTCAAATACTTCAAGTCCTCTTCAAGCAGACATGTCGCCTCACCAGAAGCAAAGTCGCTACCATACCGACCCGCACGCCCAGCAATCTGTTTGGCCAGAGAAGGTGGAATGTCAATCATGCCGCCGCTGTTACCCGAATACTTCTTCACTGTTGCAAACACAATGCGCCTGATGTTCAAGTTTAATCCCATACCAATCGCATCAGAAGCAACCAGAATATTGTAGGCATTGCCACGTTCATTGAACAATCGAGCCTGCTGTGACCGCGTCTCAGGAGGAAGCTGGCCGTAAATGATGCAGCACTTTTCCCCCGTCTTGATTTCGATGTCACGCTTGATCTGGAAGATATCACGACGTGAAAACGCCACGACACAGTCCCCAGGGCGAATTTGGCTGTAAGTTTTCAAATGAGTTGCAGAAATCTCTAACGGCGAGCGGCGCTCGTACGAACGCAGCTCAAAGTCATCTCCAGCAGTCTCGGCAAACTTTTTGACAAGATGCACAGCTTCACCTGACCCACAAACGTGGATTTCCTTGGCTTGGAGTCCAAAAAGCGCACGAGTCCACGCCCACCCTCGTTGTGGATCTCCAATCAGCTGAATCTCATCAATTACAGCAACATCCCATGGTCGAGTAATATTTGCCATTTCCACCGTGCACGACACATGCGTCGAGTACGGAATCATTTTCTTCTCCTGTCCCGTCACCAATGACGTGTAAATTCCGTGCGTATTCATTCGTTCAAACACTTCAAGTGCCAATAGACGTAGCGGGCCACAATAAATACCTCCATCTTCTTTTGCTTGTTTTAATCTCTCCAGAGCCTCGTACGTCTTGCCACTATTAGTCGGTCCTTCATGGTAAATAATCCGTCGCTTCATGGCCGTTGCAAATGGATACATTTCATGTGGTAATCTCAAATCTGTAATCTGTTGAAGTGACAATGCATTGGCATTATCGGAATCCCTTGTCAAGTAGTTCTTTGCCTTGGCATAGTCTAGAAAATAAGGATAAAAGATAAACGAGTTATATCGCTTTACATTGTCCAAGTCCTACAAGATACAAGACACAAGACAACACCCACACACACAAGACACAAGACACAAGACATCGAAAAGTGTCAATAACTTTGCTTCTAGCGCTCTAAATATCATGAAACAAAGAGCATTCACGCACTCGTCCAAAGGCCAAGAGTTCTGTCTGGTTTTCAAAGTATTGAAAAGGTTCCGCGAGCAGAGATTTACGAAATGATGAGGCGGCGACTGTCCACTCGGCGGGATTCATTCCTGCTTCAATAACAAGCTCTTTGACTTCATAATTACGTGGAAAATTACGCATACGACGATGAACACGCTGCGCCAAGTCCGATGGCCATTGCACACGTTCTCGCTCGACAGGAAGATTCAACACGGTACGTCCTCGGATGCGGGAGGTTTGCGTGGTATAACTTTGGATGTAGAACGAAGTAGAAGCTCGTAAGGGATTCAAATGGATTGCATGATGATATAGAAGATCATGGTGTAGTTGGAATGGAAGAAATGTGGTCCAGAAGGTCACAGGAAGCTGACGAAGAGGACGGAGCATGTGGAATCGAGGCATCCAGTCAATAGCCTGAAAGTAGGACGAGGTTCCGAATGTGGAATGTAAGGTGGACCACGTGAAGTTGAGGTATATACGTCTATTTGTGTGTAATTAGGATAAAAAGGGGTGGCTAGTATTGGGAATTTATAAGTAATCCGACAGACATTTTATAAGGTATAAAGTGTCACAGGAACCGACGACGCATTACTAATAGCATTTCCGTTGAATTAAAGAGACCGATCTAAAATTCTAATTTGACCAATCTAGATTTCTAGTTTGTCAAGTGGTAAAATTTTACAAATTTAGTGGTATTCGTCCGTCCGTCTACATTTGATAATACCGGTAGTTTTATACCGAATAAAACTTAGTACCGCTTGCTACTGTTTCATTCACCCCATCTGATTCCAGCTCGAATGGGCTTTGATCCTCGATGTGTAGCCTTTGAAGGCCGTTTGCATGCTGATTATTGCACTGCCGAGTACGTCGGACGTGCAAGTCATCAATTAGATGCTGCATGTTTTCGCTCAATCCATTCTGTGTCTCTCAATGGACGTTGTAAGATGTTACGGGTATATTACTATGAGACGCAGATAATGGCTACATTACGACCTGGACATTCAATCCCTGGGCTGCACAATATACCGGTATCTACTCGACGTGGAGCGGTACAGGATCCAGAAACCGGTAGTTCCACAATACCGCCACAAACCCATGAAGAGCACAACGAGACGGTATCCAGTACACGCCGTGAATCGGTAGAAATACCGGTACATTTCAATCTCAACTTAACATCCACAACTCGTGAGTCAATGCCGTTACGAAGAAATCGATCACTAGCTCCACGTGGCAATGAAAGAAAACAATTTAATCATAAAATAGCTGTGGGATTTCTTGTGGACGATGTCGAGCAAAAAGTTGGAGCTCTAGAGTCCATTTCTACATCTTTTACGAGGTTTTCAAGGTCCAGTGGCTATTTGGAAGCTCAAATGTCACGTCAAGCCGTGAAACAATTGATGCAAAGGTTTTTACCTCATGTTGCAGCTCAAGATGAGTCTAGAGAAGAGAACCAAGAGAAAAAGAGTGGAGAAAAACAAGAGAAAGTGACTTTTCCTGCAATTTTACATGAAGATTTGGGTGAACGAGTGAATTCAATTGCTTATGTTGGCAATACAGGTCGTGTTGTTTCTAACGGACGTGAGTTTTTGCAGTGTGAACGATATGGAGAAGGAGATGTGGTTGGGTGCGGTGTCTTGTTGGATACAAATACGTTCTTTTTCACGTTAAATGGTAAATTAATGGGCTTGTTACCAGCTCGAGACGTGTATGACATGGACCATTTTGGACAAGTTGAGAACGTGGCACAAGAGGAGAGTGATGAAGATGATTGGGAAAGTGGAGAGGAGGAAAATGACAAGGACAGTGGAAGAGCAAATAAGGGTGCTATGGACCAACTGGACACTGAACATAATGGTAATATGGAAGAGATTAATGGTCGCTATGAAGATGAAAAGGTACTGTTTCCGTCCGTGAGTTTACACGGTGTTGGCGAGTGTGTACGCGCAGTATTTGAACCTGATGACTTTCAATTCGATCTATTGGGTTTTGAACAGCAGATTCAAAAAGAGCGCCAACAGGCGTTGCTGGCTGAGCGTGAGAAGCACAATGACAATGGTCATTCATGTAGTTATGAACAGTTGTTGTGTAAGGATGAAGCTGCGACGAACGAGTTTGTGCGGGATTTTTTTCTTCATTACGGCTACGAGAGTGCGTACAAAGCATTTGAATCAACTGTTGGATCTTCAAACCGGCAACGATTGACATCGAACGATATGGAAATTGACTATGCGAATGAAGGTAAACCGATTGCTGTGATTCACGACGTAAGCAGTGCTAACGATACAGAGAACGAAGACAAAGTTTATGGTAGAGACCCGCAGCTGAGCTTGCAACCTTCAGTGAAACAGATGCGCGAGTCTCTGAGCCTACGTCACGAAATGCGTGAGCACATCCGTAGCTTTCGGACCGCACAAGTGCTTGAAATGCTTGAGCAACATGTACCTGCACTCATGACAATCGAAATGGGTCATTATTCCCGGCGTGTTAGAAAACTGATTTTGTATTGCCGTATTCTATGTGTTATCGATATTCTTATTCACGATGGAGAAGGAAAGGCGTCAGCTTTGTCAGCATCGTTGGTGAATGGTGCACCACGCTCGTTAGACGCTTCGAACCAGGAGAAAGTGGGGTGCAACAGATGGAATGCGGAGTCAGCGATTGCATTTGCCCGACAGGTATTTGGGTCTTCTGTCGAGATAACGGCAAATGGGAAGCGTAAAAGATTAGGATTCAGCAACGGAACACATGCGAAACGTGCGGATAGACACGAAGTTGCGCTTGCCATGAGCTTGCTTCTTTACAACCAGCGCGAGAGCATACCGGAAACAAGTCGTGCACAAAAATTCTTGACGTGCGAGTTCCGTGAGTCAGTTGCTGATGAGCTAAATAACTTGCTATTGATGGGTGATGATTATGCAAAGATGGAACCGCGGATCTCAGCGCTAGAAACCTTCATGACGGATCTGGACAGCTTGCAAAAAGAGTGTGTGCACCAAGGCTGTCGTGTGTATCCGGAAAGTGTTGAGGCTACAAGCAATGGCAAACCTACTATTACGTCGCGTCGATGGAGAACCTCGGTATCTTCTAGCTCGGACGATTCTTCTTCGATTCAAACTGAACAGGATGATCGCTTCGACGACGACGATAACGACGATGAGTAAAGGAATTGCTGCTGATAATAGACTGGGATTTCGCATTGTTTTCAACATAGGCATCTACGTCAACCTCAAAATGAATGTATTTTCGAGGTAGGCGGTTGCGGACTGTTTTGCTGTGAAACGAGGAAGACAAGCTGAAGCAAAATCTGGAAGTATGAACCAAGCTGCTTCGTATACGAGGACGTGGCAGCGCTCGCTGTACCTGAACTTGCATGGTACAACAAGACCAGAGATGGCTGTGATGACAACAAGTCAACGTGGGTGTAGCTCTTTTGCTCCGACGGAACACCATCACATTATTTTTCATTCAAAACCCGACTAGAAGCTGCTGTCGCGTCAACGACGCGAGCGGAACGTTAGTGATAGCTCGAGAAGGTGACTCTGATGGACGAAAAGGATTGCTATGCTCTTTGACAAAGACCCAAGTGGCGATTCGACTCATTCACGACGGTTACGAGCATTTGACGTAAGGATGATTTGAGCCGGTCCACCAGATCTTGACTGGCAGGTATGATCCTTCCGATCAACTAAAGTGACACTGCTAGAGATATACTTGCATGGTGGTGATGAGCTGCGAGTGTATGCAGAAGTGCTGAATCAAAAAGGATGTGTCAAGCTTCCCCGCGTCTCAAGATCATCACCCAAACACCTTGAAAAGCTCAGGGCGTGGTCAAATTGTGGCAATACAACCGGCATCTCGCGCTATCAAAGGTTATAGTCATGTATTCAAGCATATCAAGCAGCACGACGCATGAGGTTTGTACTCTGTTGAACAATTGCTTCGCATGGCTGAATGTAGCCACTACGCCATGTGTATCACAAATGTAGCCATCTTGCATGAGCCCGCGAAAGACGATACAAAGTTGTTTAGGTTCGAAATATAACATTGATATGATTGGCTGATAAGAATATGCAGCCATGGTATATTAACCAATGATAGCGTCGTCATCTGCCAGCCAGCCATTTTGCAGCCATTCCATTAAAGGGTGTATCATTGTATCAATTCATTGCCATGGGTCTACGCAAGGGAGGAGGCAAGAAGAAAGGAAGTCGAAAGCGTAAGGCTAATGTATGGGATGATGCAGAGGTTCAGACAAAACGAGGTGTGATTTTGAGTAAAAATGACGCCTTACCACGCAAATCAAGATATAAAGGGTCGATGATGAGCCAATGGAAGGCTCAACGGATTGCAGAACGCATGAAAGAGCGTCGGTTCTTTGTTTCTGTAGAGGAAAAGAAACGCTGGCAACGTGAGCATTATAAAGAGACGTGGGAGCATACTGCCAATGCAATTTACAAGAAAAAAGAAGCAGGAGAAGAGGAGATACAGGAGATAGAAGAAGACAAGGAAGAGAGCGAGGAGAGTGAGAGTGAAGATAGTGAAGAGGATGTGATGGATGGAAAGAGTAGCAATGCGCTGTTTGATGAGTTTGTAAAGACGTTTACGAGAGAAGAACCAGCTGAAGAAGAGGACGAGGAGGAGGAAGAAGAAGAAGAAGTGGTGGTGATGGATGAGGAATTGGAAGAAGAGAACGAGACAAAGAGTGAAGATGAAGAAGAGAAGGACAGCAACGAGACACAAGAACAGGTTGCTGCAATGGAAAAAGACGATGAAGAGCAGGTGGAGGAACAGGACGAAGATGAACAGGAAGATCCGTACCGCCGACGATATCTCTTGAGTTCATTTTCGGAGCAAGATGCAAAGAAGTTTGATGCACAGATGAGAAAATTTACGAAGGTGGAGTTACTTACATTGGATGATGCAAACAAGTATGATATCACGTACCGTAAAGGAGTTAGTGAGGACATTGAAGGCGTTGCTGGTGTTGTAACGACTCCGGAGAATGCTGTGAAAAAGAAGCCGTATGTCCGCTCGAGGCTAATGACGACGTGGACGCGACGTGGCTTGGATGCAGAGACGGTGTTTCCTAAGGGATCTGTAGAGCGCACGCTCTGGCAGCAGTTGTTGGCATATACGGACGTGTTTTTTGCTTGTCAGACATATGAGAATACGCCAACGCTGCGTCGATTGAGTGCGATGCATGTGCTGAACCATGTTCTAAAGGCTCGCGATACCGTAACGCGGAACAATGAACGTCTTAAAAAGCGTGATTCAGAAAAGGTTGACGATGCAGAGGAAAAAGAGTATCGTGACCAAGGGTTTTGCCGTGCAAGTGTGCTAGTTTTACTACCTCTTCGTAGTGCTGCTGTTGCTTTTGTGAACCAACTGCTGGAGCTTTTACCATCAAATATGGATACCTTTCACAACAAAGATCGATTTTTCATTGAGTTTGGAAGCGGCATGGATGACAACAATCACGATGTAACCAAGGACAATGACAAGAAGGAGTGGCAGCGTGTGTTTAGCGCAGGTAACAATGACGATTGTTTTCAATTAGGCATATCGTTCTCACGCAAGGCAATGCGCTTTTACAGTGAATATCACCACGCAGACATCATCCTTGCTTCTCCACTTGGACTTCGTCAACAACTTGGTGATGAAGTTGCAATGCTTGATGAGATCACGTCTAGTGGTGACATGCCTCAGCTATCAAGTGATTTTCTATCATCCATTGAAGTGTGTATCGTTGATTCAATCAGTCTCATGGCAATGCAGAATCTTGAACATTTACGCACAGTATTGCGAGCGATGAATGTACCACCAAAGGAAGCACCGTATGCTGATTTTGCTCGTGTTCGTGACTGGAATTTGGCATTTCTGGCATCTTATTTTCGACAAACGGTCGTATTTGGTCATGGTGTGGAACCGATTTTTAATGCCCTTTTGAAGCAAACGTGTTGCAACGTTTCAGGTCTTGTCAAGTATGTATCTCACTATGATCTTGTCGATGGGAGTGCCTCCATGTCACGCGTGGTACGAGAGATCCGACACTTGTTTCAACGTATTGATTTCAATGATCCTGAACGACGATCCCCGACACCTTTAAATGAAGTTGAAGGTCGGTTTGAGTATTTTCGAACGCAGATTCTAGACCCGCTGCTTGCTCATCCACGAAAACACGTGCTCATTGTGATTCCGTCATATTTTGATTACGTACGTGTTCGAAACGTGTTTCACGAGTCCATGACGGAGAAATTGATCCAAAGTGTCCAATGCTGTGAATATACAACGAGTTCACAGATTTCGCGCGCTCGAACGAGTTTTTATCATGGCTATTGTCATGTCATGTTGTATACGGAACGATTTCACTTTTATCATCAATATGCGATTCGAGGCATTGAGCACTTGATTTGGTACGGAGTGCCTCAATGGCCGGACTTTTATCCGGAACTGGTGAATCTGATACGACCTGGTAGTCATGAAAGTGGACCACATGATCACATGCATTCATTGGATCAAATCATCTCTGCGGAACCCACGTCGATTGTGTTATTTACACGATTCGATTATTTACGATTGCAACGGATTGTCGGAAATAAACGAGCCCAACGAATGTGTCAAGCGAAAAATACGAAATCGACTTTTTTGTTTTATTAAGATGAAATATCGGGATTTTTGGCAAAGGTAGAATATCCGCTAGATATTATCCACTGTATCACGTAAAAGCTCCTAACAGCATTTTATGATTTTTCATTTTCTCGAAACATGGCAAGTAGTAGCAACTTTTTTTTGTGTCTTTTGCTTTGGATAGTTTGTCTCTAACCTATTATCCATCTATCTGTCTATATTATATATCCAAATCACTTATAGAATCTATTTGACTTGAATCGATCATCTGCCGAGCTTTTATTCTCTTTTGAACATCGTTCAAAAGCTGGATTTTATCCTTGCAAGAAGGATCAAAGTCGGATAAAATCTAAGGATAAAACAGTGCCACTTTTTCGTACCGATGAAGCAATTCGTGGGATTCTAACGGTAAAAATCCATGGTGGAAAATCCATGCAACATAATGGATTAACGGTCAAATTACTTGGCCGGATTAAACTATCCGTGGATCGAAAAGACGGAGTTGATGATTTTATTCATTCCTGTTATGAATTACAACCACGTGGTGCAATAATCCAAGGTGAAAAAGCATTTTCATTGGATTTTTCCAAAGTGGATAAAATCCATGAAACCTATCATGGGAAAAGTGTTCATTTGCGATATTTTCTACGAGCAACTTTAGCAAGAGGATATTATCCATTGATTCAAGAACAAGATATTTTGATTCAAGCGCAAATGTCACTTCCTCCAATAAATCAATCCATTCAACTGGAAGTCGGGATTGAAGAGTGTTTACATCTTGCATTTCAATATGAAAAATCAACATATCACTTGAACGATGTCGTGATTGGCAAGATTGTTTTCCATCTCGTACGGATAAAAATCAAGCACATGGAGCTGGTAATTCTCCGTCGTGAAACGGTCGGGTCTAGTGGTAATTGTACACAACGCCATTGTGAAAATGAGATTGTCACGAAATTTGAAATCATGGATGGGGCACCAATCAAGGGTGAAAACGTACCAGTGCGTCTCTATCTTGCTCCATATGACCTTACACCAACGTATTGTAATGTATTGAATCGCTTTTCCGTCAAGTACTTTTTGAATCTTGTCTTGGTGGATGAAGAAGAGCGACGATACTTTAAACAACAAGAAATTACACTCTGGCGAAAGCATATTGGATAAGGTTGACGATGATGATGATGATGATGATGATGATGCTCTGTATGGTTGTTTTCCAGATCCAAAAGGCTCTAGCATTAAAAGTGTGACAAGGAGAAGTAGTTAACAATCAAGTGTCGGGGGACGAGAATGAGAATCCATGATAAAGACAAAACACAAACGTTACGTCCGATAAGGCGAGCCGAAAACTATATTCTCTGCTTGCATCTCTCCTTTTGTTGATTCCATCTTTTGAGCTGGAGATGTCGACAATATCAAGTTGCTGGCATTACTTTTTGCATGCACGTTCGAGCGCTTCGCAGCGACCTCTTGCAAGTGGATATCACACCACCACTACCAGTCTTAACGGGAACGGGAACGGGAACGATCGCGATCACGTCTACTGTTTCGACTACTATTGTGACGACGTGGCGACCTCGAACGTGAGCGAGATGGCGAGTGGCGACGATTCGGTCGACGAAGAGGAGATTTCGAGCGCGAGTGTGACGACGAGATGGAACGTCTTCCAGTCTCAGCTTCTCGAATCCGAACACGATTGCCATCCAAATCCATGCCATCTAATTTTCGAATCGCACGACGCATTTCCTCCTGTGTAGCAAAAGAAGCCGTGCCATTACCACGACGATCGACATCACTATGCACGACATCTCCTCCTTCCCGTAGAAAATCCTTGAGATCTTGCCAACTGATGGTATCGGGTAAATTTGAAATTTTGACACGATATTGAGTCCCACGAGGTCTAGAAAACACGAATCCAGCACAGCAAACAGAGCATCAGTCCCTGGATTGATTAGTCCATTGCAATAAGGTCATTTCAGGGTGATTTCAATCCATATCTACCGAGCCGTATCAGCACCTCGAGACATTTCGACACGGAGGCGACTACCACCGAATAAAGCACTAGAAACAATCAAAAAAAGACGGATCAAAACACACACCAACCACCGCGTGAGTCACAACTCATCAAGTCGTGACAATGTGATGGCGTAATCAAAATATCCATGAGAAAAAAACACTTGTTGGGTTCGATCAAATGGATGTTCAAATTACTTGTTCATTGCTCGCACTGCGTCACTAGCATCTTGTTCATTTTCGTATGTCTATAAGCACACACAAAAGAAGACGATGGATAAAAACCACAAAAGATCCACGGGCCACAATCAAAACTCGGATATTATTGGGGGCTGTGTCATGGATAATATCCATGAAAACGATAAAAAAAAGAGATCAACTCGTAAAAAACTCGTACAATGAAAGCAAAAGGTGGAGGACGGGTTGGAATCTTAATGCGAACACATGTAATACGACCATAACGGTCAAACTTATCCGAGAGATCACGTTCATGGACATCTTCGGGTAAATTCCCGACAAATACACGCGCCATGGGGGGGCAAAACCTTTTGATAGTAACGTAAAAAATCCAGATTGCGGCTATTCCCTCGTTTGAGTGCCATGTCCATTTCGTACCACCGCAATGTAGATTTCTTCGATTTTTATCCAAAACTATAAAAGAGAATAATATTGTTTTTGGTCGGTTCTTTGTGGATTAAACACACCAGAAAACGGATAAAATCCATTTTTCCAATGGAAGAAGAACAACTGGATGGGCCACGTATTGACAAACACTTTGATCGGATTCGTGCAAATCTCATTCGATGTGAAGAGTGTAATGAAAACTTTTTTTTCGATTTTCTACGTCATCCTCGGTACATTGTTTGTTTTTAAGAAAAAAGTCGTGATGGATATTATCCATCTTTTTGGATGCAGGGGAGACTATCGATTATCCAAGCTTATAAATATCTCTACACTTTTTTTGGTCTACTAGATATTTTGTGACGCATTTTAAAACATGCCATTTAAAAAATATCCTTTATCGTTTCAATGGATATTCCGAAGAAGAGAATCAACGTGTACGTTTTGGACCTCGACGGAAGAAAGATGCAACGTCTTGGTTTAGTCAATTAAAATCAACTGAGAAACGAATGGTAAAAGGATGTTGTCATGTTGTAAAATCGGGATTTTTTTATGTTGGATCTTTTTTATGTTGGATTTTTGTTTTATGTTGGATCTTTTTTTTTGTATTTTACGGTAGATTTCAATGCAAGATAATAAATGGGGCGAAATTGTGGAACGAGAGTGTTGGTCATGTCGATTGTACGATTGGATAATTTATGGTTTTATGAAAATCTAGATTGTTGGATATTATCTGGATAAAACAAGCAAAACCGACTCGTAAGTGATGCTAAGATTGTTTACACTGTTGTGATGTGTACAGATGTAAACACGTTCGAAAAACAAATGAGATGCCACATGCGTTCGAGCCAAATGAATTAGGTCGTCGTCAAGCTTTATTACATCTTCGACAATACCATGAAACAGCATATAGTGCTTTTCTCAGTATGTTACCAGCTGTGGGAAGATTCTTGAGTATTGAGCATCCCGCCATGTCTTTGAGTAATTTTCGACTCGTGGTAGCAAGTGAGAACGAAGTCGGACTTGGAAATGGAGAGTCCGTCGTGGAGCTTGAATCAGGTGGAGCTGCGACGTCTCATTGGACAAGACAACATGGTGATTGTGGGACAGCATCTACATTCTCAACACCAAGACATTCAGTTGAAGCTGATCGTAGTCGACTTCGTCGAATGCGAGCAACTCCTGAAGCAAAAAAGGCAGAAGCGGAGCGTAGTAAACGTCGACGAGAACAATTAACACCAGCTCAACGACAAGCAGATGCAGAAAGACGGGTCCGAAAACGACAGCGACTTGAGAAACGTGAACGTAGTCGATTACGTCGATCGAACGTCAATCCAGGTGCACGAGAACGAGAGTTGATACGTTCACGTGAACGTCGTCAGAATGCAACTGAGCAACAACGCCACCGAGAGGCTCAAAGAAGCCGCATGCGACGCCAGAATGCGACAGAAGAGCAGCGTCTGCGCGAACGGGAGCGTTGTCGCCGTCGATACGAGGCCCAAAAACGGCAAAAGCTTGTTGCTCAAAAAGCTGGTGCGTCGTCGGATATAAAGACACAGGAATGTTTGCCCGGTGCTTTGGCTTCGGATACTCTGACGTCACCTGGTAATAAGAGTGACTCAAATACGCGACCATCAAGGACCCGAGTCATGCCGAACGACCTGGAGCAACGGAACCAACTTTTATTGCAGCAGCAGGCTGGACTTGGCTTGCAGATTCGGTCGCTCTACGCGTCATTCTCGCGTCCTCCATCATCTGAGTTCGAGCTTTGAGTAGATGAATGGGGTGACATGATTTCTGGTGCTGGAACAAATTGCTGAAGGATGATGCATCTAGTAAGGACTGTGCAGATGGTGGGGAACATGCGATATTGTCGAGCTCCGAACTTTGTTGTCCAGTACCAGATTTGATCGCGATTTTGCAGCATCAGCTTAGCTTTTTGAGACGATAGACATGGAATAATGCAGTGATGGTAAGAAAAAGAATCTACACGCGCCGAGGAGCTGACAATGTAAAGACTGCAGACGATAACAGTGGTAACAAAAGCGACTTTCATTCTGCCCAGCGACTTGTTTGAAAGTGATTTACAATGAAAAGTCAATGTGTTGTTCATGCTTAATACGACCTAATGCTACTAGGATGCAATTACATGCAGATGCAACTTGACTGCAACTTGACCGTCGGGTTTGCATCCGACCATCGCGGCCCAAGTCAGTCCGACCTATAACAGGACAAAACCCTGCTGAGCACGTACCCCAAGTGTGTGTGTGTGATACACACACTGATGGCACTTGAAGTTGTTACTTCGAAAACTCGATGATGCTGATGACACAGACAGTTGGACAGACGCTACACAGAAGACTTGTACATATCATTATAGCTCCCACGTAGGGACGGCGCGTCTAGTCATAGCGCGCGTCCACTCTATTTTCTAACTAGCAATCGTCAATAGGTTTATACTTGATTTCGTTAAATATGACCACTCTCACGTTTACCTGATACTTGAAAGACGGAGAACCAATTTCATGACACTTGAGCAAGTTGTTTGTGTGTTGGCGAGGCAGACTTCGAGCTTTCCCGCCCATACATCACTTATATACGAAAGACGATAGCTCAACTGCTTTCTTGTCGATGAAAGGAGTGTATTCTAACAGCTTTCAAAGCACCCGCCTTCACTACCGTCATTCAACCGAGGCTGGGTCAAGGTACGGCTCATCTTATCAACACGGGTTGTGCTCGCATCTTCTTGGGCAGATTAAGCGTATAGGCTAAGCCCTGCTTTCTTATAAACTAGAAGATCAAATTAAGCGAGGGGGGACGTAGCTTGGTCTAGTATGCCGCAGATACTGCACGGAACTAGTAGATAGATTCTAGCAATTACTAAAACCAAATCTATCACTCTGAACTCGTGTTCATTCTTTCTACCTTTGGCATCTGCTTGCTCTTTCTGAACATCTCGGTTATCAGATCGCGTCTTTGACGCGACGTAAGACGTCAAAACGCGTCGAAGGAGCGCTTCCACACTCCTTGTTGCGTAACGCAACAAGGCTGATATCAATCAAGCCTTCGGCTGTCACTCCCCCAATACTGACGTCCAAAATTGTCCCGTAAACGGTGATCTCTATCAGAAAATATTGCCTGTTGTAGAGATACATGATCCAAACAATAGCCGTGCTGCTTTTTTCTACATCTATGAAGTCCGGTACTGTCGCTAAATGATCCATCTTGCTCATCGGTTAGCAAAAAATACAAGTACAATGTTGTTTGCCGCATCACGCGGTAAGTCAAACACAAAGTCCATGTTGTGATCTTACTTTGCTGTCTACTGAAAGGGATTACACGATTTTCACTAGTAGTTGAAGATGCAGATTCAGTTGAAGATGTAGCTACAGCTAAAGATATTGTTGCAGTTGCAGTTGTGATGTAATAAAGTTACAGAAGTGAAAGGGCCACAGGCTAGATCCAGCACTTAAGGGCACTTATTGAAGTGGATGCATTGCGTTGTACTTATAAAGCTAATCCATAAAGTTTTTAGATGGCCGCTGAATGCAGCTGCATTCATTTCGTCATTGTTCACGTCGCGTTTTAAAGTCTCCATCACTCTTTTTTACATTAGTTTCGACGTCTCAAGATTGTTACTTCCTTTTGCCTTCGTGGCAGCACCGACCTTGCCAACATGAGTGCTCTGCAGACAAAGAACACTAATCTCACTTTCGGATTTACTTCCTACTATTATCTTGACTTCACTACAATTTGAAGGTTATGGGATCAATTGAAGCGAGCCATTAAGCTCATGAAAGATAAGTGCTTCCTCTGAAAGTTAACATACACGTGAAGCGTTCTTGCAAAGGACTGCTGCCACACATCGTGAAGCATGAATGTGACACTATGAACGACCGTAGTATGCATGCATGGAAAAACGATGATCTGAACGCCCGTGGTGTAATCTCTGACGACTCCAGCCACATCTACTAAGGCTAAATTCGTAGTGCTCAAATGGAGACAATGCGTGGGTTTTGCTGCAGAATCAATTCAGCATGAGCACGTTCAAGAATCGATTTCTTATCTTGGAGAAGCTGCTGAAAAAAAGATTATCGTCGTAAGCACGATTGCGCACGAGGCGCGCGAGACGACCGTGGGAATGGCGACCGCGGACTTTGTGTCTATTTTGCATACCTTATGTGACACGTTATGCGGGGTTTGCAGATCTAGTGGACAGGAAGGATGACGAGTAAAGGGTAGGTGAAGGCATCACGAAAGATAAATGACCGAAGCCTTTTACTACAGTTCTCAAGACTACTTTACCAGTCTGGAACAGGGGAGATACAAAGCTTCAAGATGGAACCTGATACTCCATTTTTATTCCCCGTTGACAAGTTCAGGAGCTTGTATCGGGTTTGAGGCTTTGTACAAGATCCAACAGCCCGTGATGCCACTTGTACTCCTTACGAAAGAGTACCGAATGATCAGTACCGTAAGCCAAGCATGACGTTGGTGAAGTTGCACCGAAAAATGTCAGAATAGGCACATTACATACGACCTGATTGGACTTAGATAAAAAAGCATGAGTGAATATAGAAGGCTTAGAGTATCAAGTTCATGAACGAAGGACCTAAAATGAATCCCTTCATATTTTACCTTTAACAGGGTAGCAGCCACAGGACTTCTCAAGTCTCACGTCAAAGCCATGCCGCCCATGAGCAAAAAAATAATCTTGGAAGCAAGAAATACTTCTAATGGGAGCTCATAGTTTTATGACGATTGCAAGAAAATATTTACTGTCTCACATCCAGTCCGTAAAGCCGGAGGCTGATATCACCAAGGAGTGGATGCTGAACGACAGGAAGGCACATGAATTGATTGCTTAAGGCATTGCGTTGGAGCACCACACCAAGATTTGTTCCGCTACAACTTCAATTCAGGTTTGGTAGCACTTTGGTGATTCTACAACCGGACGACGATGCAGACCCGAGTGATGATGACCCGGAGGCGGCATGAGTACAAGATGAAGGATGCCACGATGGCCACGCACCTCGATAATTGTGATGAGCTGTTCATAAGTTTGAAGATGCTAAGAGAATATATTGACGAGGCTGACCAGATAATGATATTACCAAGCATTTTTCAATGTCATACGAGGGGATATCGTCGATAGTCGAGAATTTATTACGCTGATCGAAGCGAGGGAAAAGCTATACGGGAACATGAACGTCTAGAGATAAGGGAAAAAAAAGGAGCGCGCGTTGAAGGTAATCACTAGCGATATTCGGTTCACGAACAAGAATTTTGGCGACACGGCGCTTTTCTGCAGTAAAAAAAATGTGGCTACTGTTGATGGACGACTGACTGCATGGAGCACTTGTCCCGCTTCTTGATTTCGCAAAAGCCTACGACTCACTTCAACGTCCGGTTGGTATTTTGTGGCTTTCCGTGCCTCTCATTCTTTGACCTCACAAGGTGCCTCTTTGACGTCGTCGCATGATCAATCGTCTAAAGTAGCAGCATTAATTTTATGTTCCAGCATGAAAATGACCACCGAGACTGAAATGATAGAAAATTGAACTATGACATACGACGAGATTAGAAAAGTACATGAAAAGGAGTTTTATCAATTAACGAGACGACCAATAAGGATACCAACACCATACTACTCTTCTTCTCCATCTTACAATGGCTAAGACGCAAGGTTGAGTACTAATGATTGACTGCATTTTGCCCTTTCTTGACAAAACGGACTTGTCCTGCTGCTCGATTTCGCGAACGCCGACGACAAACGGGTATACGAAGGCGTTAGGATAGGCGCAATTTCATCAGAGTAATCGCGGTAAAGCGTGTTGTTGATCTCATCAGGGCCCACCACCTTTCGCGTTGATACCATTTCAGCGCTCACATCGTCTGGGAAAACAACCGCCGCGACAGTGGCGATTGTGGGGGACGCCTTACCGAGAAAGGCTGCTGTTAAAACCGGACACTCGACAGATCATAATATGATAGGCTCCCAACCGTCTGCATCTCGTCGGCTAATTTTTGAGATCGATTAGACCCATACGAAGTCCTTCTGCCCAGAGATACAATGGTAATGTCTTAAACTTTAGTCGCACCCCGGGAAAACCACTGACGGGATGTATCAGCCGAACAGCTGCGCGAGGAGGCACTTTTTCTTTGCTTGCTGCCACAACCGTCGACACTCTGCAACCTGTTGACCGATCAGCTTTGGGTCGCGGTCAGGTGTAGGCTGCTTGCTATGTTCTAAAATGGTCGTATGTATCGACAAGGCGAAACTATCTGCTAATAGAGCGTCGTCTAACCTCTCTTAAGACAAGCGATGTAGTCGCTGCCTGTAGCTTCGCGCCATGCTTTGACGGGCGTGTTTGGTAGCAACCAAACGAGCATTTCGTACGCTTTCGTTCCAGGTACCCCACCATTTCACAAGCAGGCGAGCAGTATTGATGTCAAAAGTCGATTGAGAATGTGCACCCTTGACAACACCCTGCGCTACATCCAGAGCAGCCATAACTTCCCACTTCGCCGCAGCCTGTGCGCACTCCGGCACCGGGTATACACGCCGTGGTTTCCTAACGCGTACGGTATGATCCGTCAACCCAATCGGATTGTGACACCATTGTGGTCGGCCGCGGGACCGTGTACCGAATGGACGACGTCCCGGGTCCAGTCTGCATGGCCCGAGCTAATATACCACCGGTTTAAACGGGAACTTGCTGTACCACCTCCTGGCAGTGTGTAGCAGTAAATGTGCGCCGCAGCATGATATTCCAAAGCCGCCCTCTCGTCAACCACTCCTTCTGCCTCGCTTTTGAGGGCATCGGTTGATTGCCCCGCGGTAGAAAACGCCGCAGCGCCGGGATATTGTGACGGCCGGCCGCAGTTGCGTAGGAACGATCGAGCTGAGAAAAAAAGCGTACAGTTAAAATCACTGCCTACCCGGACCACAAAACTCAGCCGTATGCAACCAAAGCACCCCAAACAAATTCTCGCGGCCACCCTTGTCGGTGGGAGCACTCCGGTGTAATGAGTGCAAGCATAAGCGTTCCTATCGTAAGGGCCAACCTAACAAAAAGCCCCCCCCCAATCGACATGAGATTTTCTCTTTACCAACATGGCATCATTTAGTAGTGCGTACTATTTGCTCTTCAGACTTCAAATGTACTTGCTGTGACGTTGGAAAGTTTTTAAATGTTGACCACCTAGAGCAATACCGTGAGCCATAACCATTCTAACAACAGCCACACGTTTGATCTGCTTTGCTGGAACTTGAATTTCTGGTTCATGATAACCGCGTACGGTACACACATGTTACACGGTAAAACGCGCGGCCTTACCATTCTCATCACTCAGGTAATAAGACACCTCTCTTGTTTAATGTCGGTGACCTGCCGGTACACTAGCACGTTGTTGTTGTACATGAAAACGAAATAAAAGTTCATCATGTAAGAGAGTGACGCCTTGCCAACACGCATGCCCACCACAAGACATTTCAATCATCCAGCCACATGAATGCCTTTAGTAGAAAATGTATAAGCTATCCATCCAGCAGAAGCAAAACATCTTGCTTGTCTTCCATCGCGCAGAAAATGTTCTGTTGCTGGTGCATCTACAGTAAACAAAAACGCATATGAAATATATTATGTGCAGTGCATTAATATACCATACATTCAGTAACTGCATTTGTCACCGTATTTTACGGCTCAACAGGTGTCGTGGTCTCTTGAAGGTCGTAATTTTGGTAGTGTCATGTAATGTTCATAACCTGTTTTGGCAAACAATAGAAAAAATCTTACCTAACAGGGACATACTTTGGCTCCCCAAAGGTTCTGAGGTAGTGTTGTACACACAACTCGGCCAGGCTTCGTGCCGAGTCTATCTATGGCTTGCAAATACTAAAGCTCAGTACAGCAGCGGTGGTCTAGACATATCATAATACGTTAAGGGAAAGGATATGAAGCGCTTTCTGCCTGATGCTACAGTGGCGAGTCTGATGCTGACTTAAGCAGCTCCGATACTGATTTCAGCTGTTTTTGTCGCAGAAAATCGGATTGCAAGTAGCGTGTATGTGTGCAAACGCTACTACATTGTCCAGAATCCAACATCATCGCTTTAGTGGGACCAATCGCTAGAACCGTAGTCTACACGATTGCTTCTCCCTGACCAAGCTACTGTCTTCATCTGTTTACCGTATTGCAGCAATCCCCGATCAAATTTTTTTGCGACACTAGAACTTTGATTGGCTTTATCTTGTATGCTTGACATTCAAAACAACACGATTTTGCTGCTGTAACGAGGTCGCAAAAGGTGGCACGAGTACTATACATACACCATTTTGGTATGGCTGTACTGTGGGTACACTGGGCTCACCTTCTTTGGTGTGGCCATACCTAATGTACGTTGGGCTCACTTCGTGGCAGGGCTAAACGTGACCGTAGGGTCAAGTACAATGTTTAAAATAGGAAAAGCTACATAGCCAGTTAGATATAGTGACTAGAACTAAGTAAAGAATATGAAATATTATTATAGTGATAGTAGCTAGATTTAAACCTGCTTGGTAAGCATTTGTTGCTTACCTGGTAGCACTTATATAGTCAATTCCGCACCTGGGTGTTGGACTACTTTCCTTGAAAATGGACATCCATTAGATGTTCGCAGTTGGCCTATCGTAGGCAAAGGACGTGGAATACCTCATCCGTTTTTGATGATGAAGAACCGTGTGGCGTTGAGCTGCTTGAGACGGAAAGACTACGACAAATTGCAGTCATAGACAGCTTGCCCAGGCAAAAAAACCGTTGCGCTTCCAGTATGCGTTAGTGTCGTCATGGCAATGTAGTTATTCACTGATATAACCAGCTTTTACCTTCTCACCTGGGTCAGCGAAGGAGCAGCAATCGTATTATTCAAGAATACAACAGCCTTACTATAGAGCAGGCAAAATTTTAAAATGCCTTCATCTGTGCCGTCGCCTATAACGTAGGAAGTAGTCTGTAGACCGAAATCCATTCAAAAGTGGAATTTAATAAATCGACAGCAAAGGAAGTGATAACTTTATGCTGTAGTTCCGGCAGCTTGAATGGCTATGTTTATAGCCGACATCACGGACAAACCATAACGTGTTTGTTTTTGCCACCATTAAATTTGGCGGCTCGGCAAAGCAATGGGCGTTAATGCGTCGCATCACGGCAAGATGCTTTTCCAACATGGGCAAATCCGAAAGCTTACATGACACGGCAGTAGGCACCGCCAAACTAAGCGCATCAAGCTCGTAGCGATACTTGGCGTGTCACCAAGGTAAGCGAGAGCTTGCAGCACATGTTACAAAAGCTGAATATTATTATTGTCGCTGACTATCTTCCTGGGGAATTGACCCTTCACGGGCCTTATGGAAGTCATATAAATTGATGTTGCCAGAACTGGCTCTCTTTTTATACAACTAGGCTGATACGCAGATTCAACTGAAGCTGCATCTTTATCTTCAGCTGCAAATGTGTCTTCAACTGCAACCAACAATGGTGGTACGTCGTAGAAGTTTCTTCTGTCACAGCCATTGCTTGACCTTCTTCAATGTCAGCAAGTCTTCAACAGGTCGTACTCGCCCTTAATTAGCCCTTGGTGCTTCGTAGTTTCAGTTGTTGCTGGCGCTAAAACTTGTTTCCATCTTGCTCCACCATCCTCAGCGTTCCTTGTCTCTTCTATGGGCCGACTCTTGAAGAGGGTAATCATCGGAGATCCGATCCAAACAAAGCTATTTCACTAGTTGGTTTTGTCGCATACCGAGCTGATGTCAATGAAGCGTCTACAACAATACTTGGATTATCTTGAGTCTCAACCTTCAGTTGCTTCAGCGTCTCTTCATATTGCTCGAAGTGAGATCATAGTCGGCATCGTCCTCGAAATGCTTCAGCAACTTATCCGTAGTTAAGGTTTCCATAATCTTGACTGTGTGCATCATATGCACCTATTTCTACACCATTACGATCTCGATACCCCTTGACGCAATCTTTGCATCCCATAAACTGAAGCTCAAAAGCCTTATCGTTAAGTTTACGGCGACCGGACAAAATCTCATATGATGTTAACACCATCGCTGTGTTTGGAATCAGTTAATGATCCATGCGCCGCTCTTTTATGCCCTCGTGACGAAGATTGCACCGAGCCATTACCACTAGGATGTGATTTATACGTTCAGATATTTTGTTTTGCTAAGTCGTGTAGGAAATTGTCGTTTTATGCTTGATCCCACTGTGATTGAGGTAGGCATGAGCTGACGACTCGTGTCTTCACACCGTTTTCCAAACGAATGCGCTCGATAGTTCACCGTTACACTTTGCATTACTGCTATGTACACCTTAAGCTCGGACAACAAATCCGAGCTGACTTGAATGAATTATACCGTGATGTGTCATGAGTAATCATCGAAAACGTTACCACGTGTACGCGCAACCTCCCGGTGTCTACGTCTGCACTTGCCCTTCATATCCAGGTGAATTAAGTTAAGGACACCATCCCTTATGGCAAGTCTATTCAATTATCGTGGAAATATGTCAGCTTGCATCTATCCCACTTGCAAATTAGTCCGTGGCCTCGAGTAGACCGACCTCAGACAACGAAGTTCTGCATCGCCGTTATAGTGCTGCTGACATGTTTTAAAAAGAACGGTATACTGTTGAGTTAAGGCAAATACAGAAGTGATATATTGATTGAGGTCCTTAGTTCTCATGCTAACCATGTTACATCTAAGCCTGATATCTACGATATATTCCCACCGTACAAGCGACATTGTCGTACCATATTTCATCACCACCTGGTGATCTTTTGGTAATCAGTTTGCCAGCTGCCAGCTGCACCGCATATGTATGCTTACCTTATGGTCCCATTGTAGTGAGTCGGACCCGATTACCAATATCCGATAAGAATGCATCCATAAAGATATACATACTGTGTTCCTTGTCAACCGATACATACGGTGTACCTTGTCAACAGATACCTGTACTACCTACCACATAAGCCGCATCATAAAACATAACTACTATCATGAAAACGCTCTGCATGGCCGGCAGCATCGAAGAAGTTGATTTGATGCTGTTGTGTGACCGCGCTGCCTCCCTAAGTAGTGCGGTAGTTGTTCGTTCGGGCGCTCATCCAGCGTTCACTCGCGTATGGCAGCTATGGACAGGCTCCACACGCTGGTGGCCACAGAGACAAAAGCTTAAGAAGCTGATTTCGCGTCGCCTCCGTTACTTAGGAAAACAACAACGCGATAAGAGAGCATCGAGACCGGGCTTTCGAGTAACTCCTACCGCACCGTCAAGTCGCAATATCGTCACGGAGATTGCGGCATTCCTCGATAAAGACGTTAACCACTGGCTAGAGACCTCCCTGGACGAGCATCCGATCTTACTGATCCCGCGATGACCGCAACAGGCCGCGCCATATTAAAGCAATACCTCTCGTGGCGCAGATTAGCTGTCCGAGGCCTTGTACTTACATAATACTTTAAGCAAATGTCTGTACGGTGCTTTTGAGTGCCGTCAGACAGGATATAGCGGGTCGCTCGCGTACCTGAATATACCTCACATTCTCTTGTTGCATTTACTTGCAAGCCTTCTCAAGTAGACTTTATAGCATATTCATATGAGTCTACTGCATTTTATGATGCAAAGCTTAACAAGGAACAGAGCGGTCTTTTTTCGTCACTTCCTGCTCATTTTGAAGCTTGTGAGGCTCTAGTGGAGGTCCAAAGGGCTGCATCCAAAAAGCTAGCTTGACGTCAAATACATTCTTTCAGCTCAGCTTTTGCGTTGCTGTCATCACAGCAAGAACCGTCGCGCTATCCTGTCGTCGGCTTCCAAGCTAATGGCTTACATCGCTCCCCCCTGATCACATTTAAGAAACTGCATTCTCCGTTCATTATCCCATGGATCGATTATGACTAGCACTCAACAACTACTAATCTCTAGCTGCTATATCAAAACATACGATAAAGCAAACGCCGTCTTTAAGATGTGTCCGTCCTACCATCACTTTGAACAAGACTATCTCAGAAGTAGCAAGAGTTGTAAGATACATACATACTTAATCTAGTTTGAGGTGAGCTGTTCACATCACTCCAAACTTGACTTGATTTTGCCTCACTGAAACCACTTCTGAATCTATCGCCAGCACTCTTACGTGACAGAGGTTTTGCGCTTAACTTTGTCATGTTATTCTGCAGTCCTCATAACGTGTATTCGCTAGAGGCTTTTGAGGTCATCACATCTCCTTGTACGATCCTGACGCTTGAGTCCGACGAGTTTGAGGCGTTTGTACTGTAGTCAGAGTTGTTGAGCTAGCTGGTCGGTAAAACATTGTTGGGTTATCGCTCGCGAGTGAAGACAACCACGTCGTAGCAGGAACCAATGTGAATTCACATGTGTGTTCATGTCCCTAGTCCTGCATCCTGCTGGTTACCAAGTTGACCAAAAATTCATCTTTCCACCTTGGGCTGTCTTCTGACCATGATATCACTCCATATTCTTCCAAGTTCTTCGCCATTGCCGACATTTTTTGAGCACCAACAGATATTTCATTTTTCAGGAAAGTTGCAGTGACACAATCACGAAAGTCCTATTGTTCAAGGTCGGATATCCGAAACCAAAGTTCTGACGTACTTGGCATGTTCAGTGCAATGACTTGCCACGCTTCTTGGAGCATTCGTTGAATCAGAGCATCCTCTGACTTCATACTAAAGTACCAGAGTACTAACTACACTCCTTGCAATGATATAAAGCGCTTTCTTCGTTTTTCAAACGCACACTATCACTTCGGAATGTTCCCTCACGACCAGGGACCTCAAAACGGCAGTCTCTGGAGGACACATAGTCTACCTCCATTGTGCTGCTTGCCTAAGCTACACAGTCACTCAACAAGCGTTGACAAGCCAGTAAGTTTTCAATATCAACAGGTCGACAACTCGACATATCACCAAGATAAGATTCCAGAGCACCAGCCTTTTTGTTCGGTAAACAAGCGACCTAGAGGCAAATCACTGGAAGAAGACAGTGTTTCCTTACGCACGAGATTGCCAAGTGTAACGTCACTTGTACCATCGCAAACTCTACAAGTTCAGCACGACAGCTTCTTTGATTCATCCGTTGGAAGGCAGCAACCCTGTCACACACTCGCCTCGACTGCAAGACACCAAATGCCGACGCTTCTACATGAACAAACCCGATCTCCTGTAGCTTCAGCTAATGCATTGGAAACAGCTGCAAGTTTGCAGATCCATCGAGGTCTGCTACCTCCATCGCTCACGGGTTCATCAGCTTTTCCGGAACAGTCAAACCAGATACGAAGGAACCGTTATGATGTGCCTCTAAACAATCGATCATTTCGCCGGCCATTTTACAACTCGACATCCACTTCTGTTGCTAGGGGTATCACTAGTGATCCCATCGCAATACCCTGGAAAGATGCAGAGGATAACACCATGCAACAAAGTCATCGAAAGCAACGCACAAGTCCAAGACGACGACTTGCAGACTCTAAAGTGCGTGCTCAGGCTTTTCAAATGAGAGAAGAGTCTGAAGCCTTCAATCACATTGAAGCCAAGCACCTCGGATACGGTTTGGCCGAGATAAATCGTTACGAGGGTGCCCCAACTTCGTTTGCACCTCCGTTTTCAGCAGTGTCACGTCGACTCCCACTTCCGATGTCCCAGTCACCAATCTACTTTGATAGCTCCATCACCAGTACGAACAAGGAAGGTTCGAGATACATGCGTGAAATGAACCGAATAACAACTTGGGATCGTCGTGATTGTCGTAGAATGTGCTGTGTGCGTGCCGATGACATTCACGCCACCTGTGCAGTCTGCAACCTGAATAAATATCGTGAACACGACAAAGATGCACTAGTCAAGTCCCCGAAGAAAGCAAGACACAAGAAAATATCAGCAAAGGAGATCGATTCAGAGAATGCAGCGCCATCTTTCAAACTGCAATCGAATCGAATCTCGCTGCTTCTGTCCGATGACACTTTGAACTACTGCAAAGATTGACCACAATTGATGGAAGATGCAGTAGCCTTGTTCTTTCTCAAGCAACGATTCTTCCAAGACGAACCTTGTCGCTACTATGAGCGTCTAATGATTCTAGTCGTCAACGAGGTGCTTCCTTGAACAAATAATACATTTCAAGTTTTCACTTTGTCGTGTGTTGTAGAAGCGTTCAAATACTTCGCTTTGATTTTTCCAGAATGGACTGGTAATGTCTAGCCCAATCTGCCTCAAAGATTCTCTGCTCTTATGCTGGGAATAATGAGAGCAGATGCATCACACGCACCCACTGACGCAGTTGATGGAATGCGTCTAAGTAAGTGTGCGTGCCATCAAATGTTGATATTGTCGTGTGTTGATTTGACATGTATCAGGTTTCACCGTCGCTAGCCTGCAATAGTTGCTGCCAAGTGGGAGCTCAACAAGACTCAGGGCCTCGACTTGTGAACAACAGGTGCCCGGAAACGGCAAAATGAAGATCGAGCGTATTAGAATACTTGCTTGCCAACAGAGCTTTGAGATCTAATCGATACAGAGGGTGACATACTATCGGATACTTGCTTGACGTGCGAAGTCCCGCGATCTATGTACGTGTGTGGAAGTCCAAAGATCCTAGCCGCGCTTAACACGTTTGCAATATAGACGAGTTGACACAGACAGACACACTGCATCGCAATATTGCAGTGGATAACACAGTACATGATTTCGGTCAAGCATCAAGCATCAAGTGCATGGCGTTTATTGAACAACTAGTCGTAAAGTCAACTCGTCCAATCCCATCGGACGTATGGGATCTCAACATTCTCATCCTTTAACATGACCATGCGTGTCTCCGCAATCGTTTACTAGCTAAGAAACCCAACGGATCTCTTGTTAATGGATCAGAAATCGTCTGAACTAAGTTCATCAAACTTTTCCATTGAGATCCAGAAACTGACGTCCAGTTGACTGTAAGCTCCCCACAAACCCTTTTACTGGCATTGTTGATCAACGGTAAGGTCATATGCATGTGTTAATAAGCGCTTGTTGGCCTAAAAGAGTTTGGAAAGGCGAGATAGTAAGCAGTATCTACGTATCATCAACAGTCCGTCGCATGGGCAGGAAAGTGCAGTATATTGAATGTCTATTCCTAAGAAAAGCGGTGAAGCCATCTTGTAGAGATTGGCGGAGACCGGGAGTTTCAACAACGTTTCAAGTTTCTCAAGACTTCATGAGACTTCACAGATGTCGCAATCTCTCTCTCCACGCACACAAAGTTGTGATCATTCGTTCAGTTCATTGTGACGATAAATTGTATGTGTCGACGCAAATATGCGATGCAAACAATTAACTGAAGCATAAGACTTGCTTTGTTAGTACGTTTCGTTCTCAACTATCTTTTGCTTCCAGATAAGTCAAATGAGCAAACGAGAGCTTCAAGTGTCCATTCAGACAAGTTTATCACCTCAATCAGAGCTTGATCGATCACTCGTCGAAACCCAACCACAGTTTTCTGACTGTCCGTGACCAAGACCCTAAAAAAGGTCGACGTGAAACCGCTTCACTCTCATCAGCGAGACCAACTCAATTGTTCTTCATTTGATCTTTGTCCATCCATCAGTGACACGAAAAGAAAATGGCTCCAAGTGACCGCCTCAGCAATTCATCAAGTCCAATGTTGGACCGTTCCGAGTCGTTGGTCGCATCGAATGACTATCAGGTGTTTCTCCATTCCCGTCAACCTTTTGTACACTACGAACATCGACGTCGTCTCCAGAATACGGATTTTCCCACTCGAGATCATGTCGAGCGACTTCCTGGTGTGGCTACGCTGCTTCAACGCCATGACACAATGCACCTCAGCGAGCCAATGCTATCTGTGCGTGACCCTAGCTATGATTTACAGTGTCGTTCATTCAAGACGACGACTTTGAACAATAGTTTTGAATGTTGGACACCACCAAGTCTAACAGGAAGACCAAGTTCGATCACGTCTCCAGCTTTTAAGTTTGGACCATTAACAGCAGCTCTCAACACAATGGGAGGCAGGTATACCGGTTGGAGCAGCAATCTAGTGACGAACACGAACGAGATGCTCAAAAATCAGACGGCGGATGCAAATACCTGGTCTCCAGTCAAATGGTCACCTGAACGTGTTTCTAGTCCAGCTACTGATGACAAGTCGCGATCAAAGGGTTCAAGATACTTGCGTGAGATTGATCGTCGACATATTCTAATGCGTATTGCTCAAGGTGAGAAACAATCAGCATTGGCAAAGGAATATCACGTTAGTCGAGCAGCGATTTGTAACCTCAACAAACATCGTGCAGAAGTGCTTTCACGTAATCATGAACATCCATTAGCAAAACATCCTAAACGAAGAATGGGTACAAGACCTAAACGACACGATATGATTGAAACTCAAGTGTGTCAGTAGATGAAAACGTAGCGTTTAGTGTGTTTTTTTCAACAGGAGATTTAGGATTGAGATGCAATGGTAGCGGAAGATGATAGGTTTCTTTTTCTTTCTTATTAAGTGTAGTAGTAATACTAGAGCGATTTACATTGCTACTTAATACGCACAAGCAACAACTTGTTTTCCTGTTACTAGTGGTGACCATTTTAACTGTAGTGTCATCATCTTGTAAAGCACGTAGTACTCATGAAGCTAATATATTAATTCGTTTCAAATAGTATTTTATCACAGAATAGTACTATTTTCTTTCTTATGAATACTACAAGCTGTCATGGTAATAATAGTAATATATCATTCTTACGACACAATACCGAAATGTACCCATGTCAAAGCAATGAACCTATATGATCTACTTATGTCACCACCAATTGCATTTCTACTATTATCAAGCAAAAGTATCACAAGTATCCTATCATTTATATGAAAATGACTGTAGCTATCTCTCTCGTTTTATACTTGAACCATGTCGTCATCCTGTTTCCGCTTTCTCTTTTCGTCTTCATTCCATTCTTACCTCATTCATCTACGCTTTACGCGCTTCAGGTACACGGATTTGCACACGCACAGCGTGTTGTCCCATTAAGGCAATCACCGCTTGTTTGTTCTGGTAGAACTCGGTTCTGTAAGAAAGAAACACGAGACACAAATATTACTCTTTTTCTGACAACAAGGGAGGAATAAAATAGTAGTATACTATCAGCAATAAAACATACTGCATTGTTTGAATCTCGCGCTGGGTTTCTTCTTCTAAAATATTTGGGTCATTTCCCATCAACTAATCACCCAATAACACAAAAACGAAATAAAATACCGTAAGTTATAATACTCGCAAAACTTTTCTTTTCTCTCCCACTAATCTCATTTCTGTGATATATATTTCAAAAACTAAAATACGTACATCGTTATTATTACTCATTTGAAATGATTGCTCCATTTGCTTACGATAGGCAGTAATTTCAGCTTCTGCCTCGAATTTCGCCTGTTTCAATCGCTCGCCACGTTCTAAGATAAGAAGAATATGGCAATAATTCGTTAAAAATACTACTACTTTTGTGATAAAAAACGAAATAAATACATAAAAAACTGACCTTGTCGTGCCTCACTAATGATCTTTGACGCTTTATTCTCAGCGGCCAAGAGTTCCTTGATACTCTGGTTTGCTGCCATGTTAGTAACGTGAATCTTTTCTCGATATTGTAAAATATCAAGTTACAGCGTGGTTAGTAAACTATTTACAAACGTATTTGATTCGTGGATATTCAAACTAGACAATGATGATTGGTGGAAAACCATCTACCAGCTGTCAAAAGTAACCATCATACATTGCAACAAGAATGTTTCGTTAAGTGAAACAACAACAACAACAGGTTAGTAAAGCTTCATTCGCTTGTACTTCACGTCGCTAGTGTTACTTAAGTAACAAATCCACACGTTATTAGTGCTGATTTGGGTTCACGACATGAACCTTTTCCCACTGTAACAGTACCAGAATGTCATTCTCCAGGTCAGTCATACGTGCCTTAAGCTCTATGAGATCCTCACGACGATGTTTTCGCTTTTGACTTAGCATTGCCACACGCTTGGCATAGCGTTTTTGCCATATATTACTATACGTTGGATCCTGTATACAATGTATACAGTATACCATCCATAGCAAATCCATTTTCTAACGGTTAGAAATGTATCAAAACCTCTAGAAAGCGATTCAAGAGCACATACCTTCTTAGTAATCGTCGAGTAAAAGGAATTGCCCAAGACTGCCGTAAAGCCAATAAAATACGTAATTGGCTCCATGACATCCCAGGAATAGACATCCCAGACACAATACATGAGTATACCATAGAAACCCGTGAGTCCCGTAAGCCCCATCCATTTCTGTGCATTTGGTAAACGATGTGCAGCCACAAGCACAGTGTTTTCAACCTGCTGCAGTTTCTGTAACGACCGTTTCAATGCCATCAATTCGCTCTCTTTCACACGTCGGTCGTGTTTGAGATTATACAGCTCCGAATCAAGTGCATTGTGTAGTGTTAATCGACTCTCGAGACTCTATGTCACAGTCAAATAATCCACACATACACACACAAGACACCCATTCATTCATTCCACCACCCTTTCGTGACTTTGGATCATGGATATTTTTTGCCATCCAAAAAAATCAAACATCCACTTACATTGGGCCGTAAAATAACGGCATTCTCCAATTGAGGATTCCGTGACTGGTCAAAATGCACGACCAAGTTCCGCCGTTGCAATTCCCGTAGCCATTTCGTTGCAACGGTCTCGTCTGCTCCTACATTGTGACACAGGCGATAAAATTCCTGTAACGGCAACTACAACAACAAAACAACAAATTATCCCGTTAAACCCAACAGACAAAACACCAAATTATCCCGTTATTTCCCACAACACAAAACAAATATCCAACAAAAAACATCCCCGTATCCAGATACGATTGCAACTCACCAACAGTCGTGGATTTGTTTCAATCTCGGCCTTAACCGATGCAAATGCTGCATGTTCTCCCCTAATTGTGCACTCATTTATACTAGTAGCATCATTTTCCACAAGGATATTCACATGATTCAATCGTAAACAAAATGCCATGGACGTTAGTTCTTCTAGTCGTACAGTATGTGCTACTTTCGTTCCAGTAGGTATCGCAATTTCAACAGTCTGAAGCGAACTATCCGCCTCTTTCACGGTATCAATGAGGTTCTTTACACTGGCACTAGAGTCTTGTATCTTCAACCGCGTTAGACCTTTTAGACCTGGTAATGGCACGAAAATATCCAATTGTCCTAAACCTTTTGCAGCATTTCGAACACTTAAGTGAGGTCGTGTCAAGTCCTGACTAGATACTTGTCCATTGGAATGACGCTGGATAGTGCGAGTAGATGCAGAACCAGAGCTTGAATGATAGACACGAAGTGTACGTATAGAGGTAGAATACCACCGAAGAGACAAGAAAGAGCGTGACGTCATGAGAGGAATAATCGGATGACGATGGTGCGATCACGCCGAGTGGAGACAAAAATATCCGGATGTTTGAGATCCGCTGGCTTTTATACCATGGATAATCTTGATCAGTCGGGATCAAAATATCAAACTATCGAACTATCGAGATATAAAAAACGAATAGATATTATCCAAATACGAGTATTGGATATTATCTTTTCGTTGGCAACAAAGTACTAAACGGTCTAGAAACGTCCTTTCAGTCTCGAAATTTGCATGGGGATGAATTTTTTCCCATACATGTAAGACCCAAAGGGCTCGAGCAATTCCTTTTTTGCCATCTGGACCAAATTTCTCCTGTACCATCTTGCCATCAACTCGACGGCATGGATTCATCCTTCTAATCTCATCACCTCCCGTCGGTTCATCGCTTTTTCCAACCGTTTTTGCCATGGTGAGATATCTCGTTAACGCTTTTTCTTGCATTTCTACCGTCACTTGAAACGTTTCTCGATCTAGCGTCTTGTATTCCAATCGACTGCAATTCGAGACGAGGATTGTCATAGCAGGTGCAAGCACCGAGTGATACTGTGTCATCCACATCAACTGCTGTACCCGATGCTGGATGGTACTTGCAACCTCATAGCGGTGACATTTTGACGATTCTCCTGCTGAAACATCACTGCGTGGATTATCCGGATACGTTGCAATAGCTTCAATGATCAAGGCAACACGCTTTCCTGCTGGTTTCGGCCATTTTACGTGCACTTTTAGCATCTCGACAATTTCACTAGAGTCAAGTGCAGCGGCAATTTTTTCACGACGGTCGAGGAATGCGAGGGAACTTGATATGATATCTTGCTCAGTTATTCCGTCAAACACCTCGTGAATCGGTTGGGTCAATTTCTCGAGGTCATCAAGACAGACGGTAGGTAGTTGTTGCAGAAAGAGAGGCGCAAAAATGGCGGCGGTTGATTCCACATTTGATATCTTGCACTTTGCCAGTGACAGGCGACTGTGCTGTAGATAGCTAAGATAATGAGATGCTCGAGCTTGAATGGACTCGGTCCACACGCGTGGTGGATACGGGAATTCGTCCTTCTGTACATTGTCACGCTCTCGTCTCTCATCCGTTTCCCCAGCAATGTCACTGAATACCAAATCAAGCAGACCAAAATCTCTCAACAGACTAAATGCACGCGCAGGATCCTCGCCTGAAAGCATCTTGCGCACTTCAATTCCAATGCGTTCACGACTAACTTTTCTTCTCATGGCATCTACAATCTCTCTCTGTTCACGCACAGCTTTCTCTAATGCCGAATCAATCGTAAAACCAAATTCACACGCAAATCGAAAAGCTCTTAGAACCCGTAACGGATCATCTAAAAAAGTCTGCACGGGTTCTGTCGGAGTCCGAATGATTCCCTGAATCAAGTCGTGGACTCCTTTTCCTGTAAAATCTTCCACTTGTCTCGTATGCAAGTTGTAGAACAATGCATTGATTGTCAAATCTCTCCGACTTGCATCATCGGCTGGTGTCGCGAATGTAACTTCCGGAACGCGACTCCCTTGAGTATATTCCTCGGCTCGGAGATGCACGAAATCCACCGTTGCACCTTCAATTTGTACAGTAGCTACTTCCAAATGCTTGGACTTGTTTGAATTGGCTTTTACAATTCCTACGGAACTCGGTGGCAATTTCCGATCCCGTTGAAATTTCAGAATCATGTTGGCAAATTTCATCCCCATGATATTATCCAATGCAATATCAATATCCTCACTTGCTGCACCACGAAGTTTATCACGAACCCATCCACCAGCGACTCGTAATTTAGTCTCAGGGGTGTACAACCGTTGAATGTACTCGAGAAAACAAAAAAGCGAATCTTCGGCAGGTGTTAACGTTAGTCTCAGGTTTTTACTTGGTAAAAAGGCTGTAGAAGACGATACAATGCCATTATTACATGGATCAATAGGTGAGATATGACTGGTATTTGATACAAAACGACACAAGCTCAAGTGTCGAAACAAATGCACTCGACGCAATACAAGTAGACGCATAGGAATGCCTGGACCTAGTGTCTAGGACCTAGTGAGACGTGTGGCTTTCACGATGCGTACTTAGTGAGGAAGCAGAGGACGCGTGGAAGCAGACGTACGTACTTAACCGTATCGAATCTGTAGATGAACTAGGAAACTTAATACCTGTCTATCCTGTTACTAATTCCTCCTGTCCTTTTTGTAGCCACATGACAAGTGATCTTTTTTTGGCTCTATACAAACGCTATGACTTGATTTTCCTAACGTTTGTTCAGTCAAGTTCGACATAAATTCGTCCACAAGAAACGAGGTTGCAACAAATTGCGATCAGGACACTAGGACGTGAAAAACGAGCCTGTTTTTTGTACGTTCCATCCACACAAAAAACGGGATTTGATGGACGACTATCAAGCCAGAAACTTGTCAATTCTAACCCCAACCCACGCTGGCTTGCTGTGACTTTATTTTTAACAGGAGTATGAAATATACGAGGTCGTAATGTAATATATTTTATATGAAACCTAGATTATCCTAAATATCTATTCTCACAGTCTTTTTGTCCATCGATTACCACCTATTTAGCCCATCAAAATAGCAATCACGTACGTCTCAAGACAGTTAGGTTCAGTTATTATATAGGACCATATGTGTTTGCATACTACTACCTATATATAGCAAAGTGGTATAGTCACTTCGTCCTACGCAACATGATGATACAATTAACTAATCTACTGAGACTTTGGAATACTCGGTGCTCAGGTGTCATTTGTCCGTCGGACCACTAATGCGTGGGTTTTTCAATCTACTCTTGGGTTCTTTTGTACTAGGAAGTGCATCCAATCCAATGGCTGATTACCCATTCATTGATTCAAGAGGTCTTGAATTTATTTCACAGGAAGCTTTTTGTACCTACCACTGTAGTCGAGTTCACGTAGGACAAGTGTATCACCATTTAACCCAAACGTCCGAATGTTTTGAAACCAATTGTCCTCACTTTCAACTTGAAACGAATCGAATTCAACGTCGATTACGATCGGCTGTAACCTTTAATGAGAATTATCGGACGAACCGTTCAATGACGCAATCCGCCGTTCTTGGCGATGTTCATGGAGCGAGTGAAAATGGCAAGGACGTGACGATTATTAGTGTGGTCTCATGTTCGAGTGTGACGGATATAACGCTTAGTATTGGCGATCCGGAAACGGATGAATTTGCGAATTTCTACCAAGCTTTCGCAACGGCCTATGACGCAATGTTATCAGGTGTGAATGCAACATATGATGCGTGTCAATTGCAATTTTTACAAAAGGAACTCCTGGCAAAGTATTCGGCCGACTTGGAAGATGTTGGAGACGTGATGGAGATTAAACCGTCGTTGATCAAATTAAACGCGACGTTTAGTAACGAGCTTGCGTGTTTAAAAGAGATTAAGCACATTTGGCCATCTACGAGTGAAAGCCACACACCTTTCTTGACCAGGAGTGACCAAGTGGATGCCATGGCAACTGTCATGTTGGTACATGTGAGTGCAGCAATTGGGGATCAACTTCTAGCTTTGCCCTGTGTTGAGAGTGTAACGGTCTTGCCAGCTATTCTAAAGCTTATGCCGTTTGCAAAGAGTTCGTATGCTTTTTCAAGAGACTCGAGTAAATCGAAGGAAGGACCGGCACTTGAGATCAGGTTGGCCAAGGTGGTAAATACGAAACAGGCATTGACTAGATTGTGCTCTCGTGTAACAAAGGCGACGGGGATCAAAAATTTGATTACAATGCCGAGCTCAACAGCAGAAACTGGAGGCATTTTGTTGCAGGCAGCAGTGGACGACTATCAAACGTGGACACAAGCCCTTGCGATTGTGCTGGATGACGAGGCCGTGGAGTGGGTGGATGTGCAGCAGGTAGTTACCACAAGTTCACTTCAAGGATTAAAGAAACCTGCGCTAGAACAGCGATTGTTTCGCCGGAGACTAGAGGAGACCGCTTTAGATGCGATGGAAATGGAGCACATTGATCGACGTCTGGACGAGTACGTTCAAGACTTGATGGGTGTGAATATTATGCAGGAACACAACATCACTGGGAACTCTATTATAGTAGGTATTACGGATACAGGGCTCTATATTGACCACGACCAGTTTGATCAGGAATCACGGAGTATGTACGATGACGAGGACATGACAGCGCGAAAGGTGGTTTACTACCAGACATTTGCGAATAATGTGGATGAGGCTGAAGATGTGACGTGTGGCCACGGCACACACGTATCAGGTATTTTGGCAGGCAGTTCATACAGCAGGGCGAACGCTGATCTCGGCATTGCATCCAGCGCACGCATTGCTTTCATGGATATTGGCAAGCAAGATGCAATGTGTGCTGGAACTAGCGGTTGCGAAGTATCGCTGGAGACACCCGGCGAGGTTGCGAACCTCATGAAGGCCCAAGTCGACACGGGTGCCAAAATCTTTTCTTTTTCGTGGGGAACAGGAGCGAACGACTACAACACGCAGACTGAACAGGTGGACGAGTACATCTACAACAACCCGAATATCCTCATCATTGTAGCAGCCGGTAACAGCGGTGAACTAGGCGCTCATACTATCAGCAGTCCATCAGGGGCAAAAAACGTCGTCTCCGTTGGTGCAAGTCTCAACGCAGAGGCATCATTCTCGGCCACCCCATGTCAGAAGGTGTTGAACGAAAACACGGTTGCGTCGTTCTCGTCCATTGGACCAACTTTGGATGGACGACAGAAGCCTGATTTGGTTGCGCCTGGAATGACAATCATTTCGTCGCAGTCGGAAACGCCAGGTTCGACGGTCAAGTCCTCGGCTGTATGTCCTTTACAAGGAACGTCGCAGGCTACACCTGTCATTGCTGGTATGGCCGTGCTGATCTACGAGTGGCTGCGTGATGGCTGGTGGAAGAACGGCGTGGCTGACCCCACGTATGGCATGGACACGATACCGGCGTCTTTGATCAAGGCACTACTGCTTCACAGTGGCGAGTCCATGTCTAGACGTCTCATTGAGCCTAGTACTGGTGTCACATCGTGCGTAGCGCTCGAAGATGCTGCAGTGACACTCAAGTCGTACCCTGACTATAATCAAGGCTACGGCAAGCCGACGATGCTCAATCTAGTGTCATTCTTGGACACTAGCAGCGCATCGTCGTCGTCTTCAACGAGCAGCAACACCATCTACTTTTTTCCCAACTCTTCAGCTGGTTCTGAGCCCAGCGTGATCGAAGGCAGCGAAGTGACCTTCCACTTCATGCTCACAGCAGATGTCAACTTGCGTGTAACACTTGTGTGGACAGACCCACCTGCATCAGTGGGAAGCAAGTCTGCACTACAAAATGATCTCGACTTGACTTTGAAGGTTGCGAACACAACGACATTGTTTTACCCGTTATCCGGCAATGGCAGTCGCGACTCAGTGAACAATGTGGAGATGATAGAAGTCTTCTATGACGATGCACTTGAAGCGGTTACTAAGGCTGGCATGACTGTAAAGGACGGAAGCATTTACGTTCAGGCTGTCGTAAGTGGTCACAGCGTCAAGGCCGGCGAGAATGCTACTACCACTGGTCAAAAGTTTTCCATTGTGGCATCTTCGACTCCGTCCTTGACTTCCATGGAGTTAAATGACGAGACAGATTCGGCTTTCTGGCAGCCATGGATGACAATTGGTGTTATTGTCATTAGCACTTTGGCTGTGCTCTTTGCCGTTGCGTTAGTGTGGCATATGCATGTGACAAGGAAGGCAGGCAAAGCGAACTACGGCTCTCCGTCTGCCGCCGTCGAGTTTACAGGGGCTCTTGGAGGAAAAACGAAAGGTTTATGGGATCAAAAGACTGAAGAATGCACGAGTGTTCCGCACATTCATCCGAGCTACATCAACATTGAGGCAGGAGGGATACGACATTCTGGTTTAGAAAATCCAGTGGGTAGTAATTGCCACGCACTCGGTCCTTCTACAGCTGTCCTGCGTGAGCCAAGTCGCCGTACTGCTGATGCCTTTGACCCTTTGGCTGCTGCTGCACACGAGCCCAGTCGTCGTGCTGCAGGTGCGTTGGCACCACCGCTACCAAATTTAGCGCCTAAGACTTGCCTCCGCACTGCTACAGCATTGCAGACCCCAGCTGATTCTTCACGCAAACTATCGCGTCGGAATCGAGAGCGGAGTGACGGAAGCGACCGTGGACAAGAACATACGGGTAGTAACGGCACTGATTGGGATCGTAAACGAAGTGAACCGAAACAAGAACGAGATCGCAGTAATCGTCCTGGTAGTGATCGAGGACGAGAACGTAACGAAACGAGGAACGTGCCTGTCAAGTCACATTCGACTCGACGTAGTAAACCCCCTATTCTTTGACACGAGTGAAGAAGACCATTAGAATCAAGATAGGATAGAAAGCTGCAAGCGCCTAGTTACTGAGTTATGCTACTTGTCGTCAACATGTTTGTTAATTTTGTATACACCGCCCTTAGAGATCATTGCCATATGAACAAATTGATCATCACACGCACTCTAGCTATGATCGCTATGATCAAGTGTGCTTCGTTGACATTGCTTGCAACCACTCTCTCTATCCGAGTTTCTTGCCTAGCCTTCACAAACATTAACGTCACGCCTGACATGTTGAACTATCCGTGACTGAAAGATGGCTTTGAGCAGTGACAAACAAAAGGACAAGAAAACGTGAGGGATGCTCAATGTCTCGATTGCTTTCAGCAAGACAGGCTTTCATTAGAAAAGACAAGGACCGGAAGACTGTACTACGCGTCAATGCTTTCTTTCGGAGCTACAAAGCCTGATGACGTTTGTATTCTTCAAATCAAGGATCATCCGGTTCATGTTGTTTCATGTAAATGTACTAGACAAGAAGTACGTCGGTGAGAGACTTTGCAGGTCGTAAGTAATCAACATGAGGGACAGTTGCATCATAAAAGTGATGAAACAGGAGGAGCGATAGTAGTAGCATCTTGCTATTGCTGACGAATGAATATGCCGTCGTAACTTTCCCGTACATACGCAAAACCACCACAATCCAAATCATGGAAATGTCTCGTATGCGTGCTGCTCGATTTCAATGTAACAACCGGTAAGAAATTCAGTCGACGTAGGAGCGAGCATTGAGCTGCAACGTATGATGCAACAGGTTCTGTACTTTTATCGACCTTGTGCTCTGACTAAGACGACGCGTTTCAAACAGAGCTCTCCAAGGTCAGTTTTTTTACTGTGAGAAACCTAACGAAAGCGTAAGATTATCATCTTGTGTCGGTGGGGCTGTCCAATTTTTCTTGAGGTGCGTTCGTGGTGATAACGTGCGTGAGAGAAGCCACGGACAATTTTTCAAGCTCATGTTGTCGTTACCGGGATCGTCTCCAACGAAAAATTTCACTTTGAATGGTGTCGACACGACGTTTTCACTTTGAATGGTGTCGACACAACTCCGTGTCACAATTGCATTGTTCTACCAGGCAATTCAGCATAGTAATTACAGACAGTAAGAGTCTCGTGAAACCAAGTCGTCGCAAACAAAAGTGCGAAATGTGCTGTCGAGTGTCGATAGTCATTGTGAAAGCCTTATCGAACGATCCATGAACTAACTGATCTTACAATTATCCTAGACAGATGAGTCTACGACCATACATTGCAACGACCTACGACAGGCTTATGCATGATAAAGATGAGATCCCTCGTTGTTCTTCGAGCAGCGGCCTCAAAGCTTTCTCCTAACAGAAAATCCATAGTATTCACATTGTAAAGATCGAATCGGATAAGGATTGACGGGCTGGTGGTTCATTGATGATACAGTTACTGCTTTCGTAGAGGTGAGCTCACTTTTGATCACCGAAACATTCTTACGCCGTAGCGTGAACACACACAGCTGGTTTCGTCGCGTTTTCAGCAACGTGGCGTTCTTGCTCACTGAAATAATAGAGATGCCGTACATCGAGAGCACACCCACCACGCCCACAAACGTGTACGGAGAAAAGAGACGTGCACTATCATCACGGATAATGAATCATCATCATCAAGGGTGCTCCCCCTTCTTCTTGCTGGCTAGTGTCCCCAATCAGATAGGCATTCAGGAATGTACAGATGTACAGAGTGATGCATTAAGCTGCTGCCGAGTCTCAACATGACGTCCTGTTGTTGAAGCTGAATTTCATTTAGAGCACTCGCTTCTACCGTCATCGCTACTGATGTACAATGCCAACGTCGACGCTTTTGCAAGTAGTGCTCGCAACTGCTGCTCTCGCCAATCAAGCACCTAGTATCTCATTATAGTAGTGTCTGAACCGTTGACTCAGCTGCCACATTTGCTCGCTCTGATGTGCAAGCGACGGCTCAGGTCAGCCAGTGCACGCAATGTGGACTCATCTTTTTTTTCTCGCCGAACAACAACTTGGTCACTATGTCCACAGCTTTGACGGATATTTCGAGTTGCACACGCACCCTTTTTCTCCAGTGGTGTTGTCAAGAAGCACAAACTGGAGCTCGCGGAGCCACAAGCATCTTGCGTTAGCAACAACCCTCTTGTTAAGTCCAACGAGCATTACACCAAACCGAGCGCCAGAGTGCCTCATATCAGACGACGCACGTGGTATGATTCTCAGGTATGCTATGCATGCCCTTTACCTCGAAGCGTTAGGCATCCAACACAACGTCAAGGCTCATTGCAGGCTGAAAGCTGCTGTGCATGTATCGTCAATTGCTCTTACGGCACCACCATTTCTGCTTGTAAGCCATTGTCCCAGCAGTACACACACACTCGCTCAATGTAAGCATTACGTCGCTGGTTGTGTCAAACGGCTGATCGTGCAATTGCACGGACACAGGTAGGTCGTTTCCAGTAATGAATAAGCCACAAAAGCTTCCATCTACTTGATTCGCGTGCATGTTCATCGTTGCTGTTTAAACAAACGTTACGCGCAATTGTCGGGGTTTTGCAGCACATTTCGGGGAGGAAGACGTCTCACGAGGTGGTCCGCCCCACAAAGTGCCAAAAAGCCGGACTTGCATAGCTTTTGCGCAAAACAATAGCCGCCATTACTACTCTCAAGAGCCTTCGGTCGCTATACGCAAACCTTTGACCATGTAACGAACAACTACTTGAGCAAGTTCAGCATAGCACATCTGACAAATTCTGTCCTCGACCATTGCATTGTCACGAAAGAGAAGCATCCAAATCCAGCGTGAGCTAGGGTATCGCATTCAGAGGCATACAAAACAAACCTACGGTCAAGCTAGCCCTCTACTTCATGCTATGATCCCGTCGAGTCCCACGAACTGGTTTATCTTGTAACACACTTGGCTCCCAAGATACGTACGTGTATGCAAAAAGCACCGTCGTAATAATCTCAAGCTCTTGTTCAACGTAGGATCGTATAGGTAGCTTAATCGTAGCGCTGCTATGAGCATTAAAGTCTCCGTTGTCTCTATGTCGGCTAGAAACGTGCACGCATTGGGAAAACGGGACAGTTTCCAAGCCTGCTCGGTCTTTCTCCCGAAATGAACTCTCCTTCCAGAAACGAGGCCGTGTACTTAATTGCAAGACATCCGGCGTCTCGATTCAAGCATCGCCACTGGTTCCTTGTGCTACTCACACGCCGACCGTATGTCTCTCATCTTAGCAAAGTCTGGCACGTACAATCACCAAATCCTCTTTCGTCGAGCCAAAAAACAACGCGATAGGGCCAAGCCCGTTCGTAACAAGAGACAACTGAACACGCTCGACTCGAGTTAAATTGAGCTACCCCATCCACATTTTCCAATTTCACTCTGGCATAAGCAATCTTGCTTACAAACATATCAACCGATGGTACCAACTCCAGAGCAAAACATTTCCACCGAGCTCCAGTTCCCAAGCTTCCTTACACAACTTAAAGCACCACCTTCTTCAGAGGACCCAATGCGTCTAGAGGAACAATGGGCGTCACCTACAAGCATCGCTACAAATCCAACCGCTGGCACGCCGGCCACATCGCAGCCTTTGCCTAGCTTTACGCTTGACCAACAAAGTAGCAATTGCTATGGTACAAATTACTTGCCACCTCGACCGCCCAACAGCTCGGCCACAGCGATTGGGTACTATACGCAGCAATTTTTACCCCCACGTGACCCACAATCTACGTCGACAGCGCCATCCTGGAGTGCTCCAATCTACAGAACTGGTACGTCAATGGTGCTTGGTGAATACCTTCACTCGCAGCATCCTCCTCCTCCTCAACAGCCGTCACTTCACCCGTTAGTGCTTCAACATAGCGAGCCGATGCCGCGTTCGAACGACGAGGACCTTGCAATGGACGCGCAGATGCTACGCGAAGTGCTCCAGGAAATGCCTACAGGTCAAAATCCCCCAGTCCACGTGCACGCGAATCAAGCGACGCTGGGGCGCGGGCAGCAAATGCCCGGACTCCAGCTCCTGTTTGCTTCACCGGATATAAATGCCACGTCGTCTCAGCCACAACCATTTGGCTTCTACAGCAACGCTATGGGCATGACCACAGCTTCAGCAGACATGCTGCTTACAATGAGCCAAAGCCAAACGCAGACAGCAATCAACTCGGCTCCCGTCGCACCAATCTACCCGTCAATACAGATGTCTAACCGCGCCGTGCTATCGGGCACGTTACCGTCACCAACCGCCATGCTTGGCATGAGTGGAGCTTATGATCCGTCGGCCACATCGATGGTACCGCCGCCGACTCTGGCCCGCAAGAAGCGCACGTCAGCCACTCGTATCTGCAAGGTAGAGGGCTGTACCAAGGGCATTCGCTCGCGCGGATTATGCAAGGCACACGGTGGTGGGCGACGATGCACGACTCCAGGCTGTACCACAAGTGACCAGGGAGGCGGCCATTGCGTCTTGCACGGTGGAGGGCGTCGCTGTCGCATTGAAGGCTGCAAAAAATCAGCACAATGGCGTGGCGTGTGCAAGATGCACGGTGGCGCTCGTCGTTGCCGCTACGGTCAATGCACCAAGAATGGTCAAGTGAAGCAGGGCTACTGCCGGATGCACCATAATTTGCTCACAGCTCAGCGCCAACAACAACAACAACAAGGTCAAATGCAAGCTCCACAGCTACAGCGTTTACAGCAGTCTCGACCTCCTGTCACTGGAGCGCTCGTCAAACTCTCGGGTGACGGCATATAAATCACTTCCGTATTCGGTCGTACATTGCTTGTTTGAATCCTCGAGGGAGAATCCTCGTCCACTTTGGACAGAACGAAGGCGTAATAAACATAATATATAGTAAACTCACGAACACTTTACTCTCTGTGTCTCTCTCGTAGTCTCAATGGTTGCACTAACTTGATCGGGGTGCCACCATCGAGTCCAACGTTGCATGGATCGGTGCAAAAGTTCTACAGTCGGTAGCTCCGGACTCTGAGTTGTGAGTAACTACATTGTCAAACGTCAAAAGACGCCAATCATGACGACGAATACTACCAAGTCTGCTCCAGCAGCATCTGCGAAGGATAATCAGCTGACTTCCAAGACGTCTGAGACACAAGGTCATGCCATATGGCTATCATCTGCCAAGCATGTAGCCGAAACTACGAAAAAAGGGACTTTGTCCGGGTTTCGCAAGATGCGAGAGGCGCTAATGGCCAAGAAGTTTGAGAGCCATGACAATGTGCCCGTAAGGAATTGGTCACATGATATTTCGTGACCATCAACGTGTTAGTTATTGTGATACATGTTGACAAACTTTGGGTTTGCTTAGGTGGCAGTAGATGCTGTTTCTGGTCTCTACATCGGTTCTTACGGTGCTGCCAACAACTATGAAGCATTGACGGGAACAGGCATCACGCACATTCTATGCGTGTCAGCTTCACTCCCACTCAAGTAAGTGAGGTCTTGTTCGATCATTGAGGTATATTGGCTAACTATAGTAGCAGGTTTCCTCACACGTTCACGTATATGCAGCTCAAAGTAGCTGATCTGAGCTCAGTGAAGATCTCCACGTTCTTTGACGAAGCCTTCAGCTTTATCGACAGGTGTGTACGATGAAACATACATGACACTACATTTGCTTGAGAATTAACTAGTGTTCTCGTAGTGCATTGTCCTCTGGTGGAAAAGTACTCGTCCATTGCGTCATGGGGCGCTCAAGGTCTGCTACAATTGTCGTTGCATACTTGATCGCGCGTCAGGGCCTTACGCTTTCGCTGGCGCTTCGTGAATTGCGTCGAAATCGGCCTCAGGCACAACCAAACAGCGGCTTTTACCAAGAATTGGTGTCATTTGAAGCAAAGCTAAAGAAGCTTCGCGAAGAAGTGGTTGAACCGTTGTGACATTGCTTGATCAATCCTCACAGCTTTCCAGGAATAGCAGGCAAGTTTCTTGCGTTTAGTAGCTTGAAGACGCGTGGACACTATCTGCATCACTGCTTGCAAAGTTTCTGGAAGCGCTTCGTCCATGTGTATCCGCTATTGCAGTAGTCATGCTCGTTATTTGGTGCTAGCAAAATGAGTAGACGACGAATGCTTCCTTGTAAAGAATATATGCGGCCACTACAACTTGTTCTATGCTCTTGCCTTCTGTCTGTCTCCTTCAATGCAGCTTTACAATGTCGCCGCTCAGACATTCGTGCTCCTTTCCGTAATCGTGTGAGCCGTTCGCAACTACTTCCGTCTCCGGTAAGATGCTCTTTATCTCTAGGCCACATAAATCATATACGCTGCTAGCACGAGCATGCGCAAAGTCACTCGCTGTCTATGCCTCGCTTGCCGGTACTCCTGGCAGGCTCCATGGCGGCTGCTTAATCATGAAGCTTGACGCAAGGATGAAAAAAATGCACAGGTTACGTCTTCACCAAGCTGCCCATTCGTCATATGAGCTAGCAAATCATCGCAGTTGCGAGCACACGTGATATTTACCAAAGCAGTAAGGAAGCAAAAGGCGCTAAAACTTCTTTGTTTCGTACCTGCTTGAGGCGTTGTCACACATGACCCATATAACCTAGAGAAATGAACTAGCAAAACATAGCAATATAGTACTCTTCTACATTCTTCGTGCCTGATACTCATCGTGTCAATCATCACCTCCTTTCCATCTGCCAGCACAGTCTTGCACCATTAGAACCTACACAAAAAAAACAGTAAGCAATCTGACTTACAAAACCTCGGCAGTCTGTACATTCCACACACCACAGAACACCGATACCATGAGACCTTCAAACCATGAGACATATGCGAGAGATTGCAAACCTTGGCTGTACCGAAACAAACACAGCTGTTGCTACGTACAACACTCGTCATAGCAAAGTACTAGCAGGTCTTGCATTGCATCATATCTCTAGCAGCTTCTCCACGACAATCGACTCCAATCCGTCATCACCGAACAACAAAACAAAAATATAAACAAAACCGTTCTCCTGCTCCCGTAGACACGTCCATCAACTCATCACAACCAACCCATCAAACAGCATCACAAAAACCTACAGAATAAACAACAAACACAGCTCCATTCCAATCAACTGCTCGACGTTATATTGTCCACTCTCTTCTCTCGCTCTCTCTCTCTCTCTCTCTCTTTCTCTCATAGCTCCGTCTTGACTTGAACCTTGTCATCATTCTTCATCACGTCCTTATCTTCCTCCTCTGTCTCCTCTGGCAGTAATTTATTCTCAATAAACTCTCCAATAGACTTTTCATCCCAGTAGGCGACACTATAAGTAATCACGTATACAAATTTCAAGTCAAAATCAATGCACATTAAAGACACGACACAAGACGACAACGACGACGACTACAACAAGACGACTGAATCCAAAGTATCTATAGACCTCATTTCTTCCATCTTTTCTCCTTCCTTGTCATAGAATTGTAACGTTGGAAGTCGATAATTCGTCTCTTTGACTTCCACTCGCTTCATCTGAGGAGCGTGGTGTTCCACAAAGTTTGCAACCTTTGGATACCGTCGTAAACGGTATTGACTGACGGCTAATACCGCTTTTACATACCGACGACCTTCGGCTTCCAAAACTTTGGAAAAATTCGAACAACATTCGTGACACTCTTGAGTCACTGAAGTAACACGTTTCTTCTTGACTGAATATTGTAACGTGGTTGATGTTAAATACGTCGCTAATTCGTCACATAGACGGCAATCCAGTGCGTGAATATCATAACCAAGTGTTGCACAGTGATCGACGTGATCTAAGGACACGATTGGATCATGCACAGACGGTATCTTTTCGTCATGGGCAGACACATATGTCGTTGCAAGGAATAGTAACGTCGGAACACGCATGAGACGAACGGTCAATACGTGTCAGTTTTGGGACGTTCCGAGAGGGACACGGAGAATGATGTGGTGAACCTGAAATTAGGTAAGAGATGATTAATATAGGAAAGGTTTTCTAGGATAGGACTTTATTTTCGATCGACGGTTCGTTTAGTTGCATTAAAGTGCATTGGGAAATAGGAATGACTTGACATTTATCTGCTATGTGATTTAAATGTAAAATGAACATGTGACATTGCATACGTAACTTTATCCTTGCTCAATTTACGCTGATGGAATTAACAGTACGATGGGCTTCTACTGATAGTCTATTTCTTTCAAACTAGTGTGAACCACATCAAATTAGTCAGGTTATCCAGGACAAAACAATACTGTACATGTATTCAAGGTTACAGATTCAATTGTTACAACAAATCAGTTATAACAGGTGACTCAAGGTATACAGCTCCGTACTCGACAAGGTTCATATGATCAAGAGCGCCCACACCTGATTGCAAGATTTAAGTAGTTTGTTAACATTAAAAGCGGCCACACCCAATTGCAGGTTTTTTGTCGGAACGATAAATCTGTCCAAACCTCAAAAAGAATCCGACAGAGACAGAATATAGCCAGCTAGACCGGCCGCATAACAAGAACCAATCAAGTAGCGGATACAGCAATATGGACGCAATCAAGGACTTTAAAGACCAAATACCAAACACAATCGACAGATACGACCAAGACAAGCACCAGACCGCATATTCTCGAAAACACAAAAGCCAAACAAAAAAAGTTGAAGACCCCTACATTGAACCAGCAGCAGACCCTGCAAGACCGACGAAGGCACAGTACTTACCGTCTATGGAGTTGTCGTTTACTTGAAGATGGCTTACGGCTGGGGATGAAAACCAAAAAGTAAGTTGTATTTTGAATAGTTTGTTATCTCAAAACGAATGGCCATAAGAAGCCGGTGACTCTCAGCCACCGATTTGTTGCCCTGTCTGTACCACAGGTAATTACTCCCTGTAAATACCTATGGTAAGAGCTCCACTATAGCCTATGCAGAACAAAAGGTGATTGCGTGGTGGGGGACGTAGCCTCGGGTAGGTCAAGGCTTTGGTGAACCCCGAACACCAGGTCGTAGGTGTCAGCCACAATTAACTTTGACCACGGGGGGGTTTGAACCCGCACCAGTAGCGTGGAATCCTCCTTCCCAAACCACTGACCCAATCTGCACCTTGGCCCGATTATGCAATTTTAACCTATAACTAACTGGAATACAACTCCACAACATGTAAAATATACATCCTACACACGTAGCCGCAACATCACTCTTCAACACCGTCAAGACCGGTCGAAATTCGACACCAAACCAAGAAAAGACCCACGCAAGCCACAATATCCAGACAACAATTTCAAAGAAAGAAAACCTATTTCGGACGCAAGAATAGCGAATGAAGAAAACATTAGTCTCGTGCCAGAACTATCCTAACGAAATTGGCCAAAGTTGCCCACGTCGAGGGTTTACCAGTTGCTGGTAATTTTTTGCCAGCACTGGCGTCGGTGAACTCAGTTGAAGTTGCCAATATCGAAGCATACTGCTTGTCTCACTGCCTTTGGCTGTCTTGGGTAGCGACCCATCTACTACACTCGACAAATTCGCCGCTGGACGCCAAGCTCTGCATGACTTTCAGGTCAGCGTGGCTGCACCTACCCGCCGAATTGTGGCTTTGAAAGTCGACTTGCTCCGGTCTTCATTCCGCCGCCTACTGGATAACCTGGTGTAAGCGCCTCGAAAGAAAGCTGCTTGACACCAACAACCTTGTAATCCAGTTGCGAAAAGGACTCCAACACGAGAGATCGCTGGTAGAACATTTGCGAAAGCGAATGGACTACCGCTAGAGCCGATATGCTTTCATGATGGCGGAGTTGGAGCACGAAAATTACAGCACGGATTCATTCAAGTAGCCCGTAGCTCCTCCCTCCCGTGCTACTCCTACATACCTCCTACACCGGTTTCAGGCAAGCGATTTCGGCGCAATCGGCCAAGATGACCGCCAAGGTTTCCAAGGCTACCAAATCGAGTACCACCAGCATTCCTGCTTCGTCGGCTCTCAAGTCAAAAACTTCTTGGGGGCTACATTCGGTACCCTCTCCTGATCCAGAAAAAGACACTGCAAGCGACGACACCGAGGTGGACCGGGCAACCTTAGCTCGGTCGCGGTCTTCCCGGCGACGCTCCGCGCCAACCAACCAATCAATCCCAACTGCCTCGGCCGCTTATGTTCCCCGCCGTGTTACTCTTCCGGGTCCAGAATTATTTCGAGCCACGTTTGGATCTTCCTACTCAAAGACTGAGTTAGTTCCGGGAAAGAGGCCCCCGCCACAGTCGCCAAGGCAGGCTTCGCTTCAGGAGTCACCCAAACTTTCGAAGGGTGACTTTGTCCCTGGGTATATGCTGGTGAAGTCATTGGAGGTAGAGCCTTGGTCGGTCGACATGGTCAGCTCGTTGATTGTCGTGACGATGACCCTGGTCGACCGCCTGCAGTTGCCTTGGTGCTGGTTTGGTTCACCAGACGGGAAGGTTGATCGACCTTTCAGGTGGAAACCGTCGTTGGGTAGCTCTTCAATGCTCAAGAGCCTCCTATTCACCCGACCATGGCTGTCAGCACGAGTCTCGACCCCAGCTGTATCCTAACAGCCATTTGGCTTGTTTGCGGAATTGAAGGCAGCCTACATGCGTTTTGACGAAGATCACAGCCAAGCGAGTTGGCAACCACTGCCTATGGATCTCTGGGGACCAAGCGCGCGCCAGCACTTTCCTCTCGTTGTACTATAGTGCACGAAAAAAACGTCGTGGTCGTGCGATTTGAGCGTGGCAAAGGGTCGCCGACATGATCTTCAAGGAATGAGTGACGGTCGATGCGACATCAACATTCTGCTTGACCCCTTCTTCCGACACTTTCCTCCTCGCGCGTGGTGTACTGATTTCCTGGTAGTGAGAAAGGGTTGGATCCCGCCAACTTGCTCGAAGCTATGAGATCTCTGTCTCTACTTATCCCTAGCTTACCCAGTTTCTTTTTTCGTCGGAGCGTCATCCTGGGTACTCAGTACCGCGCATCCGGAACAAGTTCGTCTCCACTCCTTGGGCTCTCCACTAAAATATACTTGCGTTCGTTTTCCTTTCGGTCGGTCTTATGCAACGTTTTTTGTCTCGTCAATTTAAATAGCCCACACTTGCTTTTCAAGACAGACGGCATCCCTGGGTAACGTAGCCTTGGCAGGTAAGGTATTCACATGCGTGTCCGACAACGGGCTCTGCAGCGGTCGCGCGCGCCGCAAACAGGCCGCTTCTAAGCCGGGTTAGTCGAAGGTGCAATTATCTTTGACGGAACCGCATATCTCACGCTTGGGCACCGGGTGTGCATGCTGCCTCCTCGTATACCTGGTTACCGATGCGGGTTCGAGACCCCGCTAGCGTGCACCGCTCTTCGCACCTACAATTGGCTGTCTACAACCCAGTGCTTGAGAGCCTGGTCCGTTCCGGGTTGGCCATCTTGGTCATCCTTTTCACTTCCGTTTGCCGGACCACCTCCTGTCTCTAGGTCGTGTGAAGAGTCGACCGAATGTTCGGACACCATCTTTGCACGCCGGAGACACTGCAGGGCGGCGTGTGTACGTGAGCAGTGAAGAGAAAGGTCAGCTCGCTGACTTGATTCGGCACGCACGCATGCATATCATTACAGAATTTGTAAAAGAAATAAAAGAGCGGCAAGTAGTAGTTTCTCTGGTATCTCTGGCCACGATTGCACGGGGAAAAGTCATACTATACTCGGCGCACCGAAACGCCAGTTTTGAGAAGCTGCAGTAGGACAAATCAAGGAGACTTACCAAAAGTAGGAATCCAGCAGGAGTAGTCGTGATCAGACGTAGCTCCAAAATAAAAGCACATACCAAAGAAAACAGCGTAACGTAAATCCATGAGCATGCCAGGAAAAAAGACCGTAGAGACAACAGCTAACTCTCATGAAAGCATAGCCAAGCAACAAACCGTAGCGCTAAACTCCTGCACCTGATTTCTAGTTATAAACGAAATCGATGGTATAGGACGGCAAATTAAGGAGCTGGAAAAAAGCGACGAGATGAGCCAGGAGCAGGCGACGGACGATCGGAAGTGCTCTTTTGTAGGAGGCTATGCTAACTACATACGTATCTACTATGGCTTTTACCTCTACTGCATCAAGTTCAAACGTCTATTGTATATACCAGCTTAACCCAATCTTATAAACAAAGCATACCAAGCCTTGTTTCTACATCCTCACAAGTGGTAGATCTTTGATGGTCCACAGCGTTTCATTTTCTCGTCCAAATGTCCAGGGTTGCTTCATCAAGAGGAATTTGCGAGACAAGTACTGGAATATATCCCTTGTTTGTACGTTAAATCGTTGCCTGAGGTAACTGTTCGTGTCGATTTTAAGGCCCTTCATGCTTACATAAAAGACCCCGCTATTTGAAAACCCCATCTTCTATGTGAGCGTGAATGGCACTTAAGTGGCTGTGCTTGATGTCGACTGCCTGTCTCACCATTGCTAATAGTACGTAAAGGAATATTTAGTACGAAGCGATTATTACAGACAATGCTGCCGCGCCATCTTCAGCGCGCATATTTGATTCTTATATCCCATCCTCGCGCTTGTCGATTTCATTTAATCATATCAAATCTTTTGATGCAAAGTAGAAAAGGTAGGAAAAGATCTAGCCGTAGGGCAAGTCATCAGACAGCTGTTCGTGCACTAGCTAGCTGCGCAATCTGTTGTTCGACTGGTTGAGAGAGTTACTGAAAATATAACAACATCTTATATCGCAGCTTGATTGTAAGGTTAGGTGCGTTAAGATTTGCGAAGTAAACTTGTCAGATGATCGTGATTTGGCTCTTAGTGCATCGATACATCTTTCTTTGACGTACTAGCCAATCAAGGATTTGTACCCAGTCAAACCTTCTGATTTCCTTCACAAAGCTAGAACTCTTCAGGATTTTGATAAAGTCGCTTATTGAGACTGATTTTGTTTACAGCTAGTATCCACAAAAACTCATGAGTTTCGGGAAGCAGAACATAGCTTGCGTTATCACTTCGGCAAAAGTTTAAAGAGCAAGAGTTAGCTAATCCTCTTTCGATCTGTGCAGCAACTGTGCTAACATGTCCTGCGATTGTGAGTCATCTCAAAATACAAGTCCATGGTTGTGTCTTGGCTTTTGACGTGCGAAAAAAACATGGTAAGGACAAAATGTTGGACAGTAACGAGGCTGCGATCCCAAAATACAGAAACAAGTCAGATTGTACATTTCATCCCTATCTTCATGGGTGGTCTCACTTTTGTGTACCATGTAGATGTGTATTTTGGATAGCTCGAAGTGAAAAGAACATGGTTATAAACAAACTTGTGTTTGCTGTACTGAGGTTGTGGATGGTTTTCTTTTGGGTCTCTTCATCATAATTTTATATAAATATTAGGTGAGATCGGTATATATATACTTCTTACATATTCGTAGTTTTATTCTAGAATCGACGCATGATTGTGTCTTGGTTGGCGAGGTTTGAGAGAAAATATGATAATGGCAAACGTGTGTTGGCCTGTAATGAGATTGCGATTCGTCGCGCAGCACATACCTGGCGGCCTGACATCTCCTCGGACTTGACTTTGCGTTGGCTGTCTCGTACGTCCTGAACTAATCAATGCTAATGCAAAACATGGCAGATAAATTTCTTACGTTCCAACGGTCCAGAAGGCCGTGCCATTTTACTAGCCATTCCATTTAGCGGCTGTGTGTCGACGACGGAGCTATGTGTAGTCCCTATCCCGTAGCTGACTTTAGGAGAACCGATGATACCTTTTAAATCGGGAGTTCAGCGAACCCAGAGACATTTGGATGGCATGGAGGAGTGGTTTCATAGGCCTTATCAACTTGGCGGTCAGCTGTAATGGTGCGGGTAAGACTATTTACCCCGGCGACACAAAATGAGGGACTCGAACGTGTTTGATTCTATGCTTAGCGATCTCACGTGAGATGCGCAGATTCACAGTTCTCTCTCGAAGCTGAGCAAGTCACTGGCGTTCACGTGTAGTCAAGCCTTGATGATTTTGCGTGAGTCGAAGCGCTGAACCATGTCTAGGTGTTTCTCGAAACGGCCCAGAATGCTGCTGCTGCGGCGAATCGATTCCTGTAGATCTTCGCGGTGTTGTTGGCTACGTTCGGCTTCCTCATGACAGCTGGGCCAGCGAGTCGTTGATGTCGAGTTTCGTGGGTTGCCTACGCGGGTAACGGGTCATGAACTGAAGTACTGACCTGCCTTAACCAAACTGACTTGTTGCCGAAACGAGACGAGTGAGAGCCAGTAAAAACTTCGATCTCGATGACTAATGGCCCGGTAGGATTTACAGCCGATGCAAAGAAACCCTCACAATGGATATCCAATATGCATTGAGCTGCGTTACTCTAACACACTCAGATACGTGCTCAGTCGTCCAGCAGGAACCTGGCGGCCTCACATGCTTCGACTTCGTAATATAAAGAGCATTTCTATCGAAGTTTGAGCTGTGTGTGAGTGCGCGCATCTTTACCTCAAGCATAATGTTGTAGTATGCTGACACTACACTCGTTTATTCGAGACAACCAAGAAACTGGTTCTAGGACAAGCTTTTTCTTCCTTTGCCAATGAACCCGTTGAAGCCTTTTGCACGGTACATCATGTTGAGTTTGTACTTTACTTACACTACAGCTATCAATCGATTGATTGCTCGCTCAAATCAATAGCTCGACGTTGTAAAGTGCCTGTATAGTCCCACTTTCACACCTGCTAGAACGTAGTTGTGTTGATGGATCAACAAAGCATTCGACTACATGTGTTCCACAATACTACCTACGCTCCAATGGCAATGCATCTCAATTCCATTCACAGTGACGCTGTCGCACCGGCAACAACAGCAGAAGCACTAGCGTCAGAGCTAATGGTGGGGCTGGTGGGGCTGGGCTTTGGTACTACGCGCTGGCTAGTCAAGATGCGTCGGATGCCGTCCTCGTCATTCTCACGCACCACAAAGCTGAAATGATCCTCTGGCTCTTCATTCACGTCAGTCCTGAAATTGTGACCGTCACCTTTCCTCTTCTTATCTCGACGCACTAACAAAAAGCTTTCACTCTCGTTCAGAACGTAATCAGGTACGCGGGCACGCAGCGTCGCATCCAACAGTCGATTATTATCTCGAATCCTGACCGAAACGTACTGCCGAGTTACACTGGCCACCTGGTGTGTGATTGTACTCACGTATTGCTGCAACAGTTCGTCAACAGAACCTGTATCACGCACCAGCTTTTCGACAATCAGCTTGAGTCCCTGGAAAGTACGAGCCACTGCCTGAGTTTCTTCACAAGCTGAAGAAGCGACAGTCTCCAGGCTTTCACGTAAAGCTTTTACGTCGCTGTTTTGCTGATCTAGCTGCGTGCAAAGATTTTCAAAATTCGGCAGCTGCTTTTCCATTTGAGTACATAGCTCCTTCACTTCTTGCTGCTGATGCTTCCAGGAAGTTTCCAGTTTTCCCAATTGGTTCTCAAGCCTGGTCATATCGTCGGTTATGGCAACGATCGACGATGACGGAGTGGGCTCAAAATGCGACCCACCAAGCTCGCCTTCAACTTGCTGCAACCAGTCGTCTAGCTCTCCTAGACGTGCTTGCATGCGTCCCTCTAGAGCAATGCGCTGCGAGCCTTCCAACCGCAAGCGCTCATCAAAATGCGTGCTCAACCTCGTCAACGAAGCCTCGTGCTCTTCAGCTAAAGCATTCAACACAGTTGAAAATGAGAGAGCAGATATTGGGGTAGAGTCGGAGCCGTTGAGACTCTGCCTTTTCTTCTCTTCACTAGGGTTGGATGGCGCTGCCGACGCCTCAGTAGGAGACAATGACGACGCTGGCAGCTCTTCCGCGCGCATCGTCGTGTTATTATTGTACGCAGCTTCAATATTGGCAACGGCTACAACAACACGTATTCGAAATCAGGTCATGTCACGATCATCAACATTGGCAACCGCATACCTGCCTGGACCTTGGTGTCAATCTCTTCGTGCAACGTCTGCACCAATGTCTTTAGTTGACTGCTTTTGCCGTGCTTTCCAACCGGCACACCAAGCACTTTCGAAATCTGCGCTAGTTGTGACTGGAAAGCACTTTGTCGACCTTCCAACGTCGACACTCGTTCACTAATCACCTTTCTCGTTTCCTCCATTGCAGCAGATTTCGTCATCTCCTTCTGAGCAGCAATCATTATCTGTACCTGTTTTTCCAACTCTGCTACACGCATTTCACAGTTGCAGCTCTTTCCAGCGTCTTGCATAGGTGAAGACGTGGTCGTCATCCCTTCTTGTCTTTGCATCTGCACTGATATCATCTGTTGCATCACTCGTGCAAGCTCTTTGCTCCATGTCTCCATCTGCTCATCACTTGTACGTCCCAACGTCGTCGCAGGGACAAAGGATACTGAAGTAGGTATCGCTGTAGCTGTAGCATCTCCCATTAATAATGGAGCCTGTAGATAACTGAGATACGAGGGTAAAGCCTCTTCCTCTCTCTCTTCTTCCTCTCTCTCTGGTCGATTCCAGAGCATTCTGGTCGTAGCTTTGTCACTAGGATACGACCCAATAACGCCATGATTTACAGCTTTCACGTCACTCTCGAGCCCGTGAGGACCTTCATTCGTCTCCTCAGACACTAGAAGAGACTTTGAAGCGTCACAAAACCCCGTAGTAGCTGCTGATGATGTGTGAAATGCAGTTGAAGCTGTGGAAGATCCCTCAAATGTCCATAAATTGCCTCTACTGACTGAAGGAGGCGACAGATCGCGCCGATGCTGCTCGAAACAACTAGTAGTAGTACTGCGACGTGTCGAAGAAGGTATTGAGCTATGAAAGACACGGCGGGGGCGTCTAGGGAAGAGCTCATCTACGTCTGAAGCACTGGACGAGGACCACATGACACGGGACTGATCTACTAGTGTAGATGAGATTTGATTCGTTGAAATGCAGCTGTGCGGCAAGGTAATTTCAGCGAATCAGATAACGTATGTATTTATGACCAATGATATTGTAGTCTTACTTTAGTGGTACGTTTGTCGTAATCAGTAACTTTGGTAATCAAAGCACCACTGAGACGGGGCAACGTGTGTGTTAACCTGATGCAGTTTCTGTCATCAAGTGATGAGTCGATGGCTTGGCTCCTTTAGACTTGATAATGAAAAACTGGAAATACTGTCGAGCTCTTCTTCTAGGTGACAAGGGTGGAAAGCGCCCGTCATGATCGATGATGATGTCGGATGAAGAGTGCGTAATGTCTACAGCTTGACAAGAGCAGGTCGTACCATTGGTAACATCGTACCCTCTGCAATCGTAGCAACGGAAGCACGTTTTGAACAGCTTTTACCAAACGATACCCATTCAACACTGTGCCTAGTGAACGACCGACGATTGTTTCCAATCAAGCGTCGACCAAGCGAGCTGCTTTGTTAAGGATTGAGAGGAAGAGTAGTGGGAGGCATCCACATATTCAACGCTACCGCTTCGGGCTCCATCGATACATTCATGACCCTCCCTTCTCACATGTCTTTAATGATAGACTTGGTAGCTTCATCAATGCGAAATCCACCCTTGATGAACGCTGTCGACTCGTAAAATTCACTGAGATCGTATATACCAACAGACTTGGCCTTCGACAGTAGATCATCACGCAGGACGGTAAGTGTCGTCTCCTTTTGGCTACGGTGGCCTGACTGCGCAGTAGTTTGCAATCGTAGTTGCTGATACGCATGGGCTGATTTGAACAATTCATGGAGCACGTGTAGCAGCAGCACATTGTTGTCCTGGCGGTATGTCAGGTACGGTCGAAACAGACGTCGCCACTGGCGCTTGAAGGTAAACTTCTGTGCATCGCATAAGCTTTCAGTTAGCACGCGAATTGCCAGCGCCAGGTCCTCGTCGCCAACGGAATCACGTAAATGCATTCGCGCATGTGCCTCAGCCATGCGAAAGAGCGACTCCAGATGCCGAACAGCTACAGGTACAGCACCCGTATGCTGTGACGCTCTTCGAAGCTGCGCGTAAAATGCCTCCACTTTTCCTGTGTCAAGCCCACTCGCAAGAACAGGATTTACGAATGTACGTGCATACAAAATGTACTTCCGTAGGAGTTCCTGGTCCAACGTCATACTGGCATCGTCGTCTCCAACCTGCATGAACTGCGTCATCGCGCTCAGTTCGTCTTCTTCATTAGCACCTTCTTCTTTATTTTCTGCGCTATGCTTCTTTGCATTGCTGCGCATATGGCTGGAAATGACAAAGTCAGCAAGCCGCTCGTCATCAACAGGATCAACCTTGTCCTGCAAGACGCAAAGCAGGTCAAAACGTTGCAGGATAGGATCTGTGAGCTCAACGTTCTCTGCAAATGTTCGGGCAGCGTTATACCGACCACCAATCGGGTTTGCAGCCGCAATAACAGAGCATCGTGCCTGTAGCGACGTAACAATACCAGCCTTCGACACAGATATACTTTGCTGCTCCATGGCCTCGTGAATACTTGTACGATCCTGTTCGTTCATCTTATCAAACTCGTCGATCAGGCAAACACCCTTATCTGCCAACACCAATGCACCACCTTGCAAGACCCATTCCTTGGTAAAAGGATCACGCGAAACGCCAGCTGTAAGCCCCACCGCAGAGGCACCTTTACCCGTGGAGTACACGGCGCGTGGTGCAGTTTGCATCGCAAACTTGAGAAATTGAGACTTGGCCGTACCAGGATCTCCTACCATCAGCACGTTCAGGTCGCCACGCACGCGTGAGTTCTTGAAGAACTTGGGTTTTCCACCAAATAGCGCCAGGGCCAACGCAGTTTTCACTTGCTGATGACCGTAGATGGATGGCGCAAAACTATTGATGATTCGCTGTGCAATATCTGGTTGCTTAGCAAGGCGTAAAATCCGCTTCTTGTCTTCCGCTGTGAGCAACTGACTGCCGAGCACATCAGCACGCCTCTCGACATGATTAGCCTCAATTACTGTGCGAAATACGGGAAACCCATCCCTCAAGTTCAGCGTAGGATCGGGTGTATTGGTGTAAATACCCGTGACGGCAATCTCATCACCAGGTCGAGCCTTGTCGATTAGGTCACCAACTAAAATCACGTCCTTCGAACGAGGCACACGACCAGGTGGCACGCTACCCGGTGACTCCTGTAGCGTCAGTTTCTGAAAGTTGCGATACACTGTTTGCTCACTGTTTACGGGAAAGTGGCCTCGATACTGACACTCCGGACAAGCACTAATCTTCACTTCCTGTTGACTCTGTTGCGTAAATGGGCCTAGCACCGCACCACACCCGGGACAGTTTAGCTTGACGAGTTGCAGCTGTGGAAACACAGACGTCCGTCTAGTGACAACTCCTGACACCTTTATAAGGAAGTTTAAGTGTGCCGTACGCAAATCGCGGAGTCGCTCGGTACCAGGAAGATCTAGAATACGCACATAAATTTGCTGGTGAATCGTGGAGTAGTATGGAAATAGTGCCAGCACAACTTCCTGAGCAACGTCATCAAGAATCGCCAGCATATCCTTTGGGGCTTCTACTAGCCATGCTGCTACCATTGACATGTTGTGAATGATATCACCAATTTCAATCTCTAGCGACTGCTCATTGCGCTGTGCAAGCTGCACAATCTTCTCGTGATACACCAATCTACCCTTACCGTCCGTAAAAGTATTGAGAAAATTGCGAAATCGTCTTTTGATCTCACTCCGAGGCCGTTCCGTAGCAATCCATTCTCTCAATGGCACATCAAAGTGTTCTAGGTTAATCAGTTCGTCATCCATGTCGGCACTACCTTCCATGTCATCATATCCATCTTCTCCTTCACGTCCCAACCGTCGAACACGTCGTCGATGTACATCATCAAGCTCCATCTCTTGATCTTCTTCCAACACATGTGCAACACGTCCTTCACGTGCATCTCGTCGATTCAACTCTGCTTCCACTGCTCTTCTCGTATCCAAGTCCATATCCTCATATTGTCTTCCATCCAGCATGGTCGTATCATATCGATCCAATGTCTCCATCCGTCGATAGTCCCTAGTTTCTCCAGTACACAGTAGACACAATATCAAGAAACAACAACAACACATTGTCACTACCTCTAGACCTTTCACAATGAGCATCATCATCATTGTCCTTAGAAAACCGCTTACATCTCTGCATTTTCACCCAAATCTTCACCATCTTCATCATCGTTTAGTTCATCTTCACTAAAATATTGTCGCTCTCTCTCTTCAATGTCCAGCTCGTCTACAATCTCTTCTTCTTCTTCCATCTCTTCTTCATACGCCTCTTCCTCCTCCTCCTCTAGTGTCTCTCGTCGCTCAACGATTACGTCATCCACCCTGTCAAGATCCATTTGTGTCTCATCTTGATGATGCAATTGTGACATAGACGTGGTAGTAGACGGTAGTGCATCACCTCGTCGTAAACGACGACGTTTATGGTCTCGATGATCGTCGTTTTCACTGTCATTCTCACTCTCCTCGAGACCGTTCGAGACTGAAATTATACCAGTCGATGCATTAGATACTACCGGTCTTGATGCATCTATTGGAGTACTTGATAGTCCATTAGTATTAGAGATAGACGAAGGTGGAGCAGGACGAGACGTGTCACTAGTGTCCATTGATGACTTGATGAGATCAATGAAACGTCTTGGCGCCAAATTTGAAACAGATTTTCATTGGCTATTATTCGGTACTCTACTGGTCGTACAGTTTTTTATTCTCCTACTGCAAAAAAATCTTTTCCCGATGAAATTTATATTTCAAGCAAAAAAGACGAGCCTAATGTAATATTGTAAATCGACTGCCTCAATATATTGCAGTGAAAAATGGTTGTATTAATTCGGAAAATAGCCAGGTGAAATCGAATATATTACTTCAACATAACCAGTAACATGTCCAAAATGCTAGGACGAATGCATCCAAGATGGCAGATTATTACCTCCAGGAGCAGGAGGAGACGCTTGCATTACTTGCTCACGAGCTTTCATAAAGCTGGCGCAAGGGGGCTGGATGACAGCTTGAAACGAAGTCGTGTCTTTTGACGATTGGCGAGGTACAATGACTGGCAAAGGGGTGGTTTCAGACAGATCAATTCTTTGGGCCAGTTCTTGGTTATAGCGTGTAGAGCTATTGTTGCCGAACAAGAAGATGGCCAGTAACTGCAATATGGCTATCGCGATAAGGGCAACGCCTTCGATGATCAAAACGACATTGTCGTTACAGTCACACTCCCGATCACGAGCCTTGCCTAGTGTCGCAGGCATCATGCCACTGATAATATAGATGCAAGCTCGGCCAAGACGATACCTCATAAATCCAAAAAAGAAAAAGAAGAGTTCCCACGTCGACTCGCCAAACATTAGGAGCAAGCCGAGGCAAACGCCTAAGAAGCTGAGACAGCCAGATTCCGTCTGACTGTCCGCATTGTAGATCGACCATTTGAACGTATGAAGGCCTACACAGGCTGCAAGAAACAGCATCAGGCTCACGACAACACTACAGAAGCGTAAAAGGTCTATCAAAGTGATGATCATAGTGAAGCTCTGGGTATCTCGTCGAATGAAAACGTCTGGAGAAGCATTTTACGAAGACATTGCAGCTCACAACCGGCGTCTAAAGTTATCGATTATCCATCCACGTAATGTTGTAGAAGAAGTCTGCTGTGAATCGTTTCAGAACTCGCGATGCCGTGCAAAGGCGGCCATTAAACCTTCCTTGTACAATTATAGCTCCAACACGCAAGCTCGACACTCATAGTTCGGAGTAGATTTGTTCATAGACATAGACATCCTTGATCCGGTTGTTCATAGGAGCCATGTACTCCACTATTTCACCGATCTTGTCGTGCTCAGTTATCGAATAGCGGCAAACGATAGTAGCTGCTCTCAAGCGATCACGGTTGCAGAATTCTCGACAGCCCGGCGTACTCGCCCATTCATTCGCCTTTAACAGTTGTCATCACCAGGGCTGAAATCATTAGCAATCACTAGCGGATCTATCCATTCGCTTTGCTTTGAGTATCCTATCGATTCCATTCATCCGACTGCTAGAAGTCAGCTCGCATGTATGTATCTTGCATTCTGATGTGATCCTCAAACGAATCTCAATTGATCACCATGCGCTCATCGGACAAGTGTCGATGTAGTGTGCACTATCTCTCGCTACAATCAGGCGCACGGTTTACGATCAAGCCCACATAGTTGCTCTTGACGCCGTCAGAACATGTTATCACGTCGAAGTGCTTTTTTCCCATTTCAGTGTTTAGTCTTAGTATACCTCAGTGTATCTGTACGCCGTAGGGCTGTCACGTATGACGAGGTTTCGTTACACTCATCCCACTTCTGACAAGGCCTAGCAGGTCTTCGATCTCGGACCGTCAAGTGATCTCGCTCTGAATTAGCACTTCAATTTGATCAATCTAGAGCCGGATGCTGTCCCTACCACATTGAACATCAATCCATGATCAGAAGATGAAGATGATTCAAGTAGAAGCAGATGCAAGTGTGACGGATCCAGAGAGGTGAGTATGTTTGGACATGTCTTTCGTTCTGTTATTTAGCTCATACAGGACCAAGGCATGTGAAGACTAACGCCATTTGAAATTCTGCTCTCGATAAGATCGCATGATCTTACCTCCTCACATCTCACACTTTGAAATGTAAAAGAAAGGATAACGAATCAGCTACAGCTTGTTCTGAGCGGCTTACAAACTGGCCAGCTACGTAGCATTCAGCTTTGCAAGATTGATTGACCGATTCAACAATATTCCTGATACCTTGCAACAACCTGAGCAACGATATCATCACGTGCAGTGGACAATTGGAAGAAGTTTCAAGTTAAAAACCAACTGTTATTGTTATCACGTTTTCTTGAAAGCTAGTACTACTTGTATCGTCGGTTATGGGCTTCAGCACTCATCCTTCTCCTCACTCTCTTCGTCCTCACTCCCTTCGTCCTCTTCTTCATAGTCATACTCTTCTTCTTCTATCAGCTCCTGACCTGGTTCCAGTGCCCTTGGCAATTCCTCCAAAACTTGTTCAATCTCTGCTACAACTTCCTCCACCAACGGCTCGGTATCATTTGGAAAAACAGCTCTCATCTCTCCACGATGATCCACCAGGAACTTGTCAAAATTCCATGTCGGGGCTACGGACGTACTGTACTTGTCTGCAATCTTTTTAAAAAACGGATGTGCATCATTCCCCGTCACTGACGCTTTGTGTGCAATGTAGAATGTCACGTCATATGCCGCATATCGTTTCAAAATGTCGTCCGAATTTCCAGGTTCTCGTCCTGCAAAGTCATTCGAAGGTACTGCGACTACCATCAGACCTTGGTCACGATACTTTTCATGCAACAATTGCAATTGCTTCAATTGACTTGCACTACTACATTGGGACGCAGTGTTGATGACGAAAGCAGCTTTAAACTGAAAATCTCGTGGTGTCAATTGACCACGTGATGGTTGAATCGTAGCAAACTGAAGAACGTTGCTAAACCCTTTTGATCGAAGCGAGCTTGAGAAATCTCTCGTTGCGAGCTTGGAAAGTCTTTGAACACGAAGCATCAGAATTACTACCGGATGACAGAAGATGGGTACTATTTCATTGGTCACGACGACATCGGTATTTGAAGGCTTAGATGTATTGATATAGAAGACGAATTGTAGAAGGCATTAGTCTAAGACTATCAGCCTGCCCTTGAGCAATCATGAAACTACGAGAAATACAATTGTAGAGAAGCCATTTATGCTTATGGGGTCTTTCAGCATCACTAGCTTCTTGATCAAGCCATTACGCATGTTGTAGTCTGTAGTTTATCAAAGTGTCGTCCACGTGTCTCGTTGTGAGACGTCGGATCGATACGAGTCATTTAGCTTTCCAGTTCCCGTCCAACAAGCAGGTTCACTAATTCAAGATCTCATTGAGTCATTCTCTGTCGTCATTTACTTCACTTGCATCACCATTGTCGATAGAAAGATATAGCGCAGGAGCCACTTGCAATTGTGCCTTTCTTCTCATCCCTTAGGCAGACCCTAGAAGCTTATTAGAGCTCATTAGTACTTACTTATTCAAACAACCATCTCATCGTCTCATACTGAGTGGTCCACTTTCTATCCATCAAAAGAGCTTTAGCTTCTCAGTATCACGTGTCGATTCCAAATGGTGACAATTCCAGAAGTCGATTTTTCTAGTCCACATGCAGTCAAACAGCTGCGTCTTGCGTGTACACAATTTGGTTTCTGCTACCTCATCAATCATGGAATTGATAACAACCTGCAGACTCAAGTGTACAAGGAGATGCAAAACTTTTTCGGTCAATCCAATGAGGAATAGCTCAAAGTGCTTGCTAACAAATACATGCGAGGATATACGCTTATGAATGAGGAGACACTAGATCCGACAGTCCAGACGAGAGGAGATACAAAAGAAGGTCATTATATCTGTCGTCATGTATCTTTAGACAGTGATGAGATGACGCTCCCACTTCACGGCCCCAACCTGTCCCAAACAAGGCCAAGTCTCCATTATTCGAGGACACCATGGAAAAGTATCATGCCGTCATGTGTCAAATAGGGTTTGAAGTGGCCAAACTGTTTGCTGAAGCTGCAGGAGAAAAGGGCATATTTGATGGACCGGGGATGTTTCATAAGCCCATGGCAGCCTTACGACTATTGCATTATGCTCCCGAGAAATCAGATGTGGACAAAGGTGTTTACGGAGCTGGAGCTCATACATATTATGGGTTAATCACGTTGTTGTCCACAGATACTACTGAGGGGTTGCAGATTTTTCATGACGGACAGTGGATTGATGTGCCACCACGTGAAAACGCCTTTGTAGTGAATATTGGAGACATGAGGAGAGGTTCACGAACGGCAAGTTCAAGTCAACCTTGCATCGGGTGGTAAATCTTTCGGGCAAAGATCGCTACTCAGTGCCGTTTTTCTATGAGCCAATTTCACGTGTAAGGTCGAGTGTTTCTCAAATTGTGTGAGTGAGGAAAACCCGGCTAGGTACCCGCTTACCACCAGTGGTCAACATCTTCTGGACAAGTACAAGCAAACACACGCTTTATTATAAGCTCAGTAGACTTGTACAGCTTTAAGTTGCAAAGGTGAAGGATGCGAAGACTTTGGTAGTAGGATAATCTGACAACACAACGAGATAACAAACGCTCAGCAGCGACGAAACGCGCAAGAAACCAGCCGTTGTGAATGAATGTAGATTGCGATGCATTGTGTTTTTTTCTCTACTTGTCGACAGCACCAAGCCCGCTTTTCTACAGCATCCTAGGCAACAATGATGGTATTCGAACACTGAAAGGTACAGTGTCTTCCTTACCACAGTACTATGACAAAACTGCTTGAAAAGCCTCGAGTCTGTCTGTGGACCTATTCGTGATCGCCTAGAGAGCAATGTTTATGGTGACGATTAGCTTAGCGTCAAAATGTCAAGATCACATTGACGTTGCACAGAATATGACACTATGTTGACCAGCATGTATTTCGATCTCAGTCTTAAGCATGTATTTCATAGCTACAAAAAACTAAGAGGTTGGTCTACGAAGCAAAAACCTTGGTATATGAACAAGAGTTTGTAAGAAATTGCGTATCTAGTCGTGTAGCAGTTTCTGGCGACGCGAAAGGACGCGTCTTTTCGGTAGCGCTAGGTGACGGATGGGAGGCAGCAAAGAGGTGTTTGAAGAGTCGAGGGCGACGCTAGAGAGAGGTTCGCGCAGAGAGATCGCAGCTAGCTAGCACAACAAGAGCGACGAAGGTAAGAGAGAAACACAGAATCTATTTCACCTATTACAACTAACGTCCATCCTTCATTACAAGTTACGAGACCAATGGCTGGATCACAAGACGCTAAAGCAGCACCGGATTCAGCAGGCCAAAAACGAAAACCTCAAGGGGACGTGGAGCATCTCCAGCGCATTTGCCGCGTGCTGCCGTCGTCGTAGAAGAAGCTCCGGCCCACGAAAGGGGCTCGGCGAAGGAGGACAACATTCTCGCGATGCTCGATGCGCTCTCGTCGCGCATGGAGCGCATGAAGGCGAGCCAGATCAAGCTCAATGAAGACGATCGGATGCGTAGGGCCATCGAAAGTGGCTTGTTTGCATCAGCACTTGGCGCAAACCTCGGTGCGGCAACGATGCGCTCGAGCAACCTGAACGAAAGCCGCCGGCCAGACCGCCTCTCGTGCGCGCTCCGACGCCGTCGTCAGTAGTACTCGCCGCTCCACTCGCTCGACCCTCGCCTCCCGGATTGCCACCGTAGCCGCAGAAAATGCGTGCTTGTGCACCAGCCGCTGCGCCAGCGCTGATGCCAGCGACGGCCGAGGAGCACGCCGCTGGTGCGTATGTCGCAGCTTACGACGCAGCGCAGTCACCGAGGTATGGGCATCAGAAAATGCACGTCGGGACGCCAGACGCGCGGCAGCGGAAGCTGACAGTGCGCAAGTTTGATGGAGCTAAGCTTTACCGCGTTCTCGGCTCGGGGTTCTACGGCTGGGGTCGCACGTTCCTTCTTTAGGTCAACATGGCGCAAGCGGCGTACGGATTGCTGTGGACGGAGGACATTAAAGTTGACCTGCTTGAACACTATCGGCACCGCCGAGCGCTACTATCACAAGCAAGTTGATACGTGGTGGCTTGATCAGCCGACTCTTGACTACGTGATGGGACGGATGCTTGCCACGCTCAAGACGTCCATCACTGCTGCGCAAACCAGGAAGTTGTTCGCACGTGCGCTTCTTGTACCGAGCACTTCATGTACCTGGTGGCGGTCGGCGACGCGAAAGGCGGCGCGGACACGCTCGTGCTTGACAACATCGTCAACCACGCGTCAGCAGAGCTTACGCTCGTGCTCAAAGCCAAGTACGGCCCAAGTCGAATCGACCATCTTCGACACGCCGAGGAGCTCGCGCATTTTTGCACAGTCCATCGAGACCACAGTCACGTCGAACGGTCAAGAAGTCGTGGCGGTAGACATCGATGCGCCAGTGCAGCGGAAGGAGGCGCGCAAGTGCCATGGGTGCGGCAAGGTCGGGCAAATTCAAGCGCATTGCCGATCGAGCGCCAGAAGTGTCAGCAGCAACACTTTCGGTGGCTAAGCTACGCGTCCAAAGAACAAGGATAGGGAAGAAAGCGGTATGTTGCTGGATCTGACGGTGCGCAACCGCGAACGCGTGGAACGCGCGCGGGCCGCAAAACCAGCGGAATGAGTCGTGCAATGCTGTTGGCAGTGACGAGGGCGACAAGAGCGCCTGGATCTTAGATAGCGGATCGAGTCGGCACTTGTGCACGACGCATCACTGATGCATGACGCCAAACGCTTCAGTTACAGAAGCGTGATAGCAATTGGTGATGCACTTGAGCTCAACAGGTCGGAAGCGTGCGACTTCGCGTAATAGCTGAAGGCGTGGAGCGCGTCGTGATGCTCACCGATGTCTCCTTGGCGCCGCCGCTGTCCTGCAACATCATGTCGTTCGGGAAGCTGGAGCAGAAGGGCTTCAAGCTTTTGTACAGCAGCGTCGCTTGGTCGCTTGTGCAAATAAGCGACGGAGCAATCGCATTCGACGTCACGACAAAGAACAATGTGCTCTTTAAAGGAGTTGGTCAAAGTTGGTAAGGTGAAAAAGTAAGGTCCTTAGTTCGCAACTTTTCTTGCTACTTTAAGCCTACTAGATTCTTCAACTATACAACAGTAATCGACACTACGCGCATTACTTGTTGTGTAGTCGCACATGAGTAATCAACTCTATACACACTCTATACACATCACTCATGGTGTAGCCGCACATGAGTAATCTACTCTATACACATGACTCTCATGAGTAATCCACGCTAGTGGTATTACTCATGGGATAGGCGCACAATTAACTACCAGGCCGTACCTTTCGTGTGTCGTTATTTGGACGAGGCGCATCATCAACAACACTCTTACTCGACTCGGCAATCTTGATCCCCAACATGCCTCAAAGATAGTCAAACTGCGCAGCAGAGATCGGTTTTGTCATGATATCTGCTTTCAGGTCCTTTGTAGCGCAGTACTGTAGCAACACTTGACCGTCTGCGACCTTCTCTCGCTTGAAGTAATACCGGATGTCGATATGCTTCGTTCTTTTATGGAACTCGGGGTTCTTGACCAGCGCGATGGAACCTTGGTTATCGTCATAGATTTTGACTGCTTCGTCGTTCTTCATCTCGCCAAGCTTACACAAAAATGCTTTGATCCATACTGCTTTTTGTGTAGCTTCTGTCAACGCCATGTACTCGGCTTCCGTAGATGACAGAGCCACTGCACGCTGTTTCTTGCTTCTCCAGCTGATACACCCATTGTTTATCAGGAGCGCGTATCCACTTGTGCTTTGTCGAGTTTCCACATTAAGCCCAGTCTGCATACGAGTCGCCTTGAAGCAGTCAATGTCTGTAGCTTGATATTCCATCCCATAGGTTCGTGTGCCTTTGACATACCTGAACACGCGCTTGAGTGCTTGCCAATGTGTTGGACAAGGGTCCGCTGCAAACTGGCTAAGAACTCCCACTGCAGCAGCGATATTCGGGCGAGTTCCTACCATGAGATACATTGGACTCGGAGTGCCCCTCGCGGATCCAAGAAGACGCGGAACGACATCGGTTTTAGCGTGCAAACGTGGTACAAGATGAAGATCTTGGGGACTATCTGTTTTCGGTTGGTGATGAAGTCACCAAGTCGAGTAACGTGTGGCTGGTCGACTCGGGTGCGACGCAGCACATGACAAGTTCCAAGAAGTTCATGAAGAACTACAAGGTCTTCGATCCGGTCGATGTGCACTTGGCAGACGATGGTATCGTTCAAGCGATCGGAAAAGGCGACATTGTGATGTCAATGAAGACGCCACGCGGGACCAAGAAAGGTGTGCTCACGGACGTGTGGCACATCCCGAAGCTATCGCGCAATCTGTCCTCCGTGGGAAAATTTACCAGGACGTCGGGCAAGTCACCTTTAAAACCAACGGATGCTTCGCGGAGACAAAGGGTGTCAAGTGAAAGCTCGGTGCTCGCTTAGGCAAAGGACTGTTCAAGCTCTGCATGTTGCCAGAAGCGTCTATCGAGGCAAACGTGTCAAGTTCGAATGATTGTACAAGGGGTACCAACTCGTATCTCTGGCATCTTCGGCTTGGTCACATTGGCCACGGAGGACTTGACACCATGGTCAAGAAAGGTTATGGAACCGGCATTGACTTGGTATCGGTAAACAAGTGGGAAACTTGCAGCGGGTGTGCACTTGGCAAGAAACGCGAGTGAGCTATCTGTCAAAGTCACCTGATCAAGCAAAGAAGTTGCTTGAGGTCATTTACAGTGATGTGTGTGGGCCCATGCAAACCCCTATTTACATTGGCAAACGTTATGTTTTTTTACGTTTATCGACGAATACTCACACTATTGTGTGGTATTTCTGCTCAAGAACAAGTCTGAGTAGCGACCACATTTGCAGAATTCGTCGCGTGGGCGGAAACCCAGACTGGCAAGCGCGTGAAGCTTCTTCGTTGTGACAATGGTGGCGAATATACCGGTACGATGTCCAAGCTGTGTACGGACCGTGCAATTGTGCAGAAATATACGCCGCCGTATACCTCTTAACTACATGGTGTCGCCGAACGGATGAATCGAATATTGGTGGAAAGCGTCCGCTGCATGATGGAACATGCTGGGCTGACGACTTCGTATTGAGGAATAGCAGTCATGACTGCCAATTTCTTGCGCAATCGCTGCCCAACCCGTGCTACGCGTCATGACAAGTCGCCACATCAAGCTTGGACCGGGAAGAAACCTCTACTTGCAAATTTGAAGGTGTTTGGGTGCAATGCATATGTGCATGTTCCAAAGGAAAAGCGGTCCAAGTTCGACGTTCGATTGGTGCTC